GCATTGATTCCTATGGAGTGAGGAATTGTTTTTGCTTTGATTAAAACATCCCAATTAATATAACGTTTTACAATTTGAATATAATCTTGGATATTATCATTTCCCTCTCCTGTCTTTAAAGCATATACTCTCAAGTAACAAATAGTCTTTCGTTTTATAATCAGTATTCGTGTCTACGATAGCAATGTACTTTATTTCACCCCCCCCCTTATAAATGATGTTTTGCCCCTGAATTCTTTGTTTTGATCGCCTCCCACTGCAGTACACAAATTTGACGCATTAGATATGGCGGTTCCTGGTCTATATATTTCTTGTCCTACACTAAATTTAAATCCTACTTTTATATGAGCTGAACAATGTTTCATAATATTATATAATTACATATATTAACTACTAATAAACTACTACTTTTTACTAAATAAAATTAATTTTTTTGTTTTTTGTTTTTATATAGCGAGTTGTTTTATCTCGTAATGTTATATTGCAAGTTGTTATTTGTTATATGGCGAAACGTTACTTAGGCAAGTTGTTATATGGCGAAATGTTACTCAGGCGAGTTGTTATATGTCGAAATGTTACTTAAGCGAGTTGTTATATGGTAAGATGTTACTGAGCCAAAGCATTACAAATTTCTTATACATATAGATATTCACTAACGTGTTCGGGGTTAAAACCCTCAAAACAACATGTTTTATGTAAAACTGCAATATATATTAGTTTTGTATTTTAAAGCTCTTACCGCTTAAATTAATATAATAGATAAATAATTGATATTGAATAAATTCAGGTGCGTATACAGCTAGGACGTTATTAAAAATCCTGTATGTATTATAATCAGGTGCGTAAACAACTAGGACGTTATTAAAAATCCTGTATTATAATCAGGTGCGTATACAGCTAGGACGTTATTAAAAATCCTGTATTATAATCAGGTGCGTATACAACTAGGACGGTATTAAAAATCCTGTATTATAATCAGGTGCGTAGACGGTATTTATTAAAGGAGTCAGAAGCCACTCTATACATATTTCTCCATTTTTTAGGAGGGAACATTTTGTCCCTCTTGTATCCGGCCCGGAGCATGATTATTACAAATAATATATTGAATAATAACTATAAAGGATAAAAACACGCAGGCGCGTACGAGGGCATTTGTCTAGGGGGGGGGCACAATTTGCGCGCGTAAGCGTGCAAAAAAAATTTTTTGGTCCCCCCNTTAATATAAATAATATTAATAATAAAGAGAGGGGGGGGGGAAATAATTAAAATATTCAATATTTAATATTTAATCCCCCCCTGGCCCAATTATTTTACTGTGAAATTTACCATTTCTATTTTTAAATGTAAGGCCTAAAAGGTACCTGCACTATATTCTTACGCTCCTAATTTTTGCATAGAAAATTAAACTGACATGAATATATCAATTCAGTTTTATTAAACTAGGCTTCGCGCCCGTCTTCTATTTCAATTGTGAACATTTTCTCTTTAAAAAATTGTGTGAGTATAAGAGCGTTTTTTCTTATGTCTCAATTTATATTGGACACGCTCTATGATATAGTCACTAATTACATGGACTACATTTATTCTGTAAATTCGCATATATTATATTTATTTATGTATATATGTTAATTTCACTTTATTAAATGAGAAAAAAGAGCTTTATACATAATTTGATATATTATAGTCCAAGTACGCTACTAGTGCATTAAATAATCGATTTTTAGGTAAAATTTACCTTTCTGTTTAAGATGATTGAAAAAAATTATCTGTGCGAAGTGCCAAAAAAAATTTGTTTATATTTTTCCTCTTAATGGTAATCATGGACATGGAGAATGGAGATAAAGTTTCTCAACTGGGATATTTATGTCCCCAAGATTCTAGGGGGGGGGGGCCGGGGGGGGTAAATAACCCCAATAACCCCCCTTATATACCCACAAATAATGAGATTTCAGAAATGATTTTACATTTTGATAACTTACTTTTTTAAACCAAGATTTTGTGCAGCTTAAAATGTTTTTCTTTTTTTAAAAGATAATTTATTATTGTTTAAAAGTTGTAAAACCCATGGTATTTTATAAATTAAGTTTTAGGTCTACATGAGAGGTGTTGGGACATTTTATGTTGGATCGGTGAATTTTTATATCGTAAAAATAACAATGTGTAATATTCTTTTTCTGAAATGGCCTTATATCTATAAAATGTTTTCTGCGAATTTCCCTTTCCATGTTAGTCCTCCTCTCACTGAAATTTCCTGTCAATGAAACAGAGTGTCCCAATAAAAATGGGAATTAAAGGGATTGTAAGCGTAACTTCCTGTGACCCTGCATGCAAAGATAAGCCCGTTTCACATCAGTAGAATTAAACTAATTCTTGTTGATCAGAGAAACAATTTAAGGGAACCGTTGTGATCGGGCACGCTCGTCTTTGCATGCAGCTAGGGTCACAGTCCCTTTAAGAGTGTATCAAAATAAAGATTTTACGTCATTTCAGTTTTTCAAACTGTGGTCTGTCTTTTGTACCAACAAATTGGACGAAGATATAATGTTGTCATTTGATGAATCTGGATAATTTGGATGTATATTCATAATATATCCGTCAATTTTAAGGGTGTAAAGAAGGCAGACCACAGTTTAGAATTCCCAAGATTGGAAAACTACTAAAATGTTGTTGACGTAATAATTTCCATGTTTTTTAGCTAGGGACACCCTGTTTGTCTAAAAATAGCATTCCTTGCAGGTAACCCTGTCTTTTATTATCGAGATTGATCAGAATTACCCTGTTGCAGCTGCATTATCCTGAAACCATCTGTTGGTTTCTACTTCCTTCTACTTCCGGCCTTATGTTATGCAAACCGGACCTCACTGTCATTAATTGATAAATTCCAATATAAGAGTTTAACAATTAGAGATTGTTGAACAACACGGGGTTGTGTCCATCCCCCCCTCCACATATAAAGTGGTCCAGATGTACTGGTTAATATAGTCAGCGAGTCTTTACGTTCAAACATTTCCACCCAATTTATTGTAATTTTAATTCTTTACTTATAATTGGTAATGTGTTATAGATTAATGTACTAGGCTGAAGTGCTGAATTTGTTTAGCCTATGTTACCCCGGGGATACCCGTACCGGTTCGTTCCCTCAAAAAATGTCAGCCCATTCGGTCCAGCCGTTTGGCCGGCTTTAGGGAACATATATACGAATATCTTATACCTACACCGGGGTGTTTCATATCCTTCCCCTTTTTTATTATCTTTTCAACCCTGACAAAGATATACTGGTTTTTATCAAATTAATTCTTCCGTATTCTATAAGATGATGTCTCATAAAATATTTTATTTTCATGGAAAATGCCAGGGTCAAGCCTTGATAATGAAACTTCCATAATAATTATTCTTTTTGTTACAATGAACTTACAATATGTTATCATCATGTATTGTATCAATGTTTTTTTTAATGTTGTATCCAGGTTGTATCCGTGTTTTATTTTTTTTTCATTCATGTTGTATCCGTGTTTTATTTATGTTGTATCCATGGTGTATCCGTGTTTTATCTTTGTTGTATTCATGTTGTATCCGTGTTTTATCTATGTTGTATTCGTGTTTTATCGATGTTGTATTCATGTTGTATCCGTGTTTTATCTATGTTTTATTGATGTTGTATCCGTGTTTTATCTATGTTTTATTCATGTTGTATCCGTGTTTTATCTATGTTGTATTCATAATGTATCCGTGTTTTATCTATGTTGTATTCATGTTGTACCCGTGTTTTATCTATGTTGTATCATTGTTTTATCTATGTTGTATTCATGTTATATCCGTGTTTTATCTATGTTTTATTGATGTTGTATCCGTGTTTTATCTATGTTTTATTCATGTTGTATCTATGTTTTATTCATGTCGTATCCGTGTTTTATCTATGTTGTATCCGTGTTTTATCTATGTTGTATCCATGTTTGATCCATGTTTTATTCATGTTGTTTCCGTGTTTAATCTATGTTGTATCCGTGTTTTATCTATGTTGTATCTATGCTATATCCGTGTTTTATCTATGTTGTATCCATGCTGTATCCGTGTTTTAAATATGTTGTTTCCGTGTTTTATCTATGTTGTATCCATGCTGTATCCGTGTTTTATCTATGTTGTATCCATGCTGTATCCGTTTTTAAATATGTTGTATCCGTGTTTTATCTATATAGTATCCATGCTGTATCCGTGTTTTAAATATGTGGTATCCATGTTGTATCCGTGTTTTATCTATGTTGTATCCGTGTTTTATCTATGTTGTATCCATGCTGTATCCGTGTTTTATCTATTACTTTTTTAACTGATCTACTATCTTCATTGGTATTTGGGAGACACAAGGTTACCCACAATCACAGACGACAGTACGGAATATGTTTTGTCTCTTCCTTTTATCAAAGAACCATGATTCCCTGCAGATTTATTTTGCCTCTGTAAGATACCAACTTTAACCTCCAGAAGGTCATATTTGAAGATTTAAGGTCGTCATTAATGTCTGATTTTAATGTGGGTAACTCTGAATCCCAAATACACTTTGTTAAACCTTATTTACAGAAGGATTCTTAATTCACTATAGCAACCCTCTCACTAAATTCTTTCTCATTTTAATTCCGAGCATCAATATTTCTCCACAAAAGATATTGTGAAAATATTTATGTTTCCCTGTTTTCCCCAACCATGATTTATGAATTTAGAAATTCATTTTTAAATTCCATTTTTTGACAGGATTCGAGGATTTATGGACCAAGTTTTGAAACGCGAGCTTTAAACATCAGCTATGCAGTTATACATATATTTCTATACTTTGAACAAAAAATCCATGAAAATAATACTTTATAAAATTACGACTGAAGATACAAGTAAAAGTTAACAATTGTTCCCATAATGTTGCAGAAATTTATATTGCACAATTATAAAAACTGTTTGAAGAAGAAGTGTAAAGTATGTATTAATATTATGATCCAAGTAGTATTATTAAAAATTATCTTAAAAATATATTCAACCCAAAAATGTGGTTTTAGCAAAAACAATGTTTAGTGAATAGTGGTTTATCAGCAAATTCCGGGGCTTAGGTCTTGCTTATAAAAACAAGGTTATTTACATAAACTATTCAATTTAATAAAAAAATACGCAAGATTTGATTAGGAAAAGGAATGTTTTTATCATATATACCACTACACGCTGTAATTATCAAGGGAAGTATGTTTTGAGATCTGAAAATCCCAATTAAGACACATTTATTTTTTATAATTTTAATACTATAATCTATACCTTCATGCAGAAAGGTTTTCTGAAAAATTTACTCTCTGGAAATATTTTGTGTTTTAATAATATCTTAATGAATCACAAACAGGGCATAATCTAAATACAATTTTATATATATTTCGTAATTTTCAATGTCTGGACAACTACTGGAGTTTTTAGCTTAAAGAGAATTCTATATTTTTACTCCAGGTTTAAAAAAATAGAAGAACTTTGTCTTCTCTGAAATAATACGATAAATGCGATATTAAAATACAGATTATAAATTAATACTTTTTGAACTTTTCCAAAATTTGATTACCTTTCCTCTTTTTTAAAGGTGAGGTGGTAAAGGGGATAAAAAAAAGAAGTTTTGAAATATGATGCTAGATTTGAATTATGTTTACTAAAGAAAAGATCTATATTTTAATATTGAACTTTTAAATAACATTATTAGCAGCTATAAAAAATATATTGACGAGAACATTTTCTATCCATAATCTATCGATATTTTTAGAATCCATAAATATTTCTACAATCCTGAGATATTTCTAGAATCCATAGATATTTCTAGAATCCATAGATATTTCTAGAATCCATAGACATTTCTAAAATCCAAAAATATTAATGGAATCCAAATTCTATCGATATGTCTGAAATTCAAAAGATATATATCAGCAGTTTATAAAGATTCTTCACCAATAAAGATTCTTTTTTTTTCTCAATGGTTTGAAGTCCGAATTAAGCATTACTAATATTCTTGAGGTCCACCTCAGCTCTATACAACGTCCTCCGCGGACATGAGGAGAGGATTCACATACTCAAACCCTTCGAACTCAGTTTGGTCGATTCGTCCGATAACCCCTGCATCGTCCGGGGTAAGCTGCACAGGTTCGTCTGTAAACTCCGGGGGGAAGTTTGTAAGGTCCTTGTCGTTCTCCAGCCTAACCAATCAATTAATCAATCAATAAATCAATTAATAAATCAATTAATGAAATAGTAACCAATAAATCAAATATCAGTTTTCAGTAATAAATTTAATTTTTTTTTATTTTATTCGATCAATTTATCGACCAATTAAGCAATCAATCAAACAGTCCCCGGAGAGAAATTACACACGCAGAAACTAATGTAGGATTTAGACAACTTAAGTTTCAATAATCCAAGAAAAACTTTTTTCTACTTTTCAAGCTATTTTAGGAAGTAAACTGTATATGATGTTTATTGTTTATTGTTTTAGGCATACTATTAATATAAATAATATTAATAATAATAATAATAATAAAATAATTGTTTTTGTATAAAAGTTAGGGGCGATGCAGATTTATGATGTCAGTCAGTTCCCATATTCATTTGAGACCCTTCGTTATCGTAAATATTAATCTTATTTGCTTTATAAACGTTATACATCTTTAAACCCAGGAAATGAAAATGTCAAGAAACTAAAATTCTGATTGTCTTTGATAGAAACTTTATGTTTGACGATTCATGCATTTCAAATAAAAACGATTGATATGTTTGCGAACCCACCATTGCCTGAAAACCTAATTTTTGCGCTAAACGCTCATTTTGGAAAATTTTAACCAAGCTTAGAACATTCCCCGGATTCTACCGAGTTTCCCAATAAAAATTTGAGACAAATCGGTTAAGGGGTTCATGAGTAAGGATTGGACATACAAACCAACAGAGATTGTTTAAAATATATAAATAAACCCACCTGGGCCTGTACGGGGGTGGGATCTGCTTCTGTTCCAACAGCTCCCACTCGATGGTCTTGAAGAAGGGGTGTGTCATGATCTCCATGAACCCTCCCTCCTTGTTGCACCCGAGACGATCGGCCGGGTTCTTGTTGAGGAATCCCTTCAGGATACTTGCAGCCTTCACTGACAGAGATCGGGGGATACGGATAGTTTTCTCCAAGATAACCTTAGCAATCAACCAATCAATCAATCAAGCAATCAATCAATAAGTCCATCAATCCATTTAACAAAGACCTAATCAACTAATTAGATTAATTAATTCCCCAATTTACCCTACTATCTATAATTCTTTTTAAAAAATATGCTGAATCCGCCTATTTCCATGAACAAGTTTTGAATTTTTTTGTGCATTAATGTTATTCATTTTAAAGATAACGTTCTAAAGTTTGAATTCGAATCACAAATGAGGGGATTTGCTTTAAGCATCAAGTTTCAGTTAGGAGTTTCAAGTCCTTCATAAACATTGAGTTTTCAGCCTGAACCTCTTTAGTTATCACACAATTCGAAGAGAATAATTTAAAAAAATAATATTTTTACCTTGAAAACTTGATAAATTTACCTGGAAAAGATAATCCTCTGTATTTTGATCTGGGTTGTCTGAGGCACCAACAATATCAAAGGGAGATCTTCCAGCCAACATCTCGTAGAGAAGAACACCCAGAGCCCACCAGTCCACAGAGAAACTATAGTCCTCAGCTCTATAATAAATAGGATGGTTAGTTTCTCTAGTACGACACCTAGAGCCCACCAGTCCACAGATAAACTATAGTCCTCAGCTCTATAATATATAGGACGGTTAGTTTCTCTAGTAGGACACCTAGAGCCCACCAGTTCACAGAGAAACTATAGTCCTCAGCTCTATAATATATAGGACGGTTAATTTCTCTAGTAGAACACCCAGAGCCCACCAGTTCACAGAGAAACTATAGTCAGTGCAAATAGAAGTAGGCTGTTATCTCCATAATTTTAGTAAAGTAAGTTCTAGAGTCTAGACTGTGCGCTGCGGCTTGGATAAATAGGAAGATGTAGTTTTTAAAATAAATTCAAAGATTTAAGAAAAACTAACTTAAAGGAATAAGAAAAATGTGATCTGAGAAACGCAGGGACTGGCCTTGGTAAATAAATATTTGGATAAGTATCGGAAATTCAAAGTTAACATTTGATACTAATGAATTAGGTTGTACCTTAGTATTTCCGGAGCAATATAGTTAGGGGTTCCACAGAAGGTTGAAGTTGTATCTCCGGGTCGTATTCCTTCCTTACACATTCCTTAATAGATAAAAATTGTACAAAACCGTTCGTGGATGATAAACTGACTGCATTAAGTGCACTAACCATTACTATATCCTTTATTTATGATGCAATAATTTATTGTTTAGTGGTCTTTAATATTTTTGTGCAATTCCATTCTACGATATTAAAGTCTAGATAATTTTTATGTTATGTGTAGAGAATACTACAGGGATTCAGCTAGAGAATTTGAGTGTGTAAGACTTTATTTTGTGGCTAAGTTAAGGACTAAGATACTATTTGTAGCAGACTTTTTAAACTTAGATACTAATTTTGACATATTTAATTGCCTAAATGTAGTTAAGTTTCATTTTGGGTGTAATGGGTATGTATGCAATTTTCATCCAGCTATGTCGCTGAACTACCTACCGCCGGTTCAAATCTTGATTTGTCGATTCAAAGTTAAAGATTCATGAGGATTTGATTCGATGATTCAGGATTTGAATCAGCAACCTCTAGAATTAATCAAACTCGGTCTCTGGACAACTACTCACCGTAATCTGTTAGTTTGATATGTCCTTCATGATCCAGAAGAACGTTGTCCAGCTTCAAGTCCCTGTAGATAATACCACGCTGATGAAGATAGTTCAAAGCCAAGCAGATCTCAGCCGAGTAGAATCTTAAATAACATATTTTTCATTTTAAAGCATAAAAACCGCTTAAAAAATAGACGCCATTTTGAATTAAGTATTATAGCGGGAAAATAGCGCATTTCTTACCTGGCGTGTTCCTCCGGAAGACGTCTCTGTCTCTGCATATGGAACATAAGGTCACCACCACGTACAAACTCTATCACAAAGAACAGGCGGGAAGACGTCTAGAAAATTAAATTTATCAATATTCAGAGAACAAACTTTGTAAAGAGAAAGTTGGGGGAAAATGTTAAAAAAAACCTGGTTTTTATTTTTATAATGGATTTTTAAGTAATGATGTTAGATTGGTCATTTATCTATATATTTATATATTTAATGACCTGAAAGCAAGAATGAAGTCCGACGAGGAAAGGGTGATTACTCGCTGTTTCAAAAACATGTTTCTCAGTTTGCACCCAATCAATATCTTCATCATCTGTCACTAACTCCTTCTTTATAACCTTTACAACAAAATTAATAAAAAATAATTACAGACAAATAATATTTTTAGTTTAGATCTGAACTACAAATTGTAACGTAATCTATAAAGAAATCAAACAAAAGATTTTATCAGAACATATTCATTACTGAACCTAGTACGTTTAAACGAAAAGAAAGAAAAAGCTAAAATAATTAATTCTTGATAAAATAATTTGTGAGAGAAAAAATCTTTAATCTCATTTAATTAATTTTTTCCACGAGATTAATTAGTGGAACAGTTCCCGAATCCTAATAATATCCTTCAGCTGAAAGAATTAAATTTAAAGGGACTTTCCACCAATTCAATTAAAGATTGGGATGACTGATTCACAATGTAACTTTAAAAATGTGTCTTGTTATTAAAATGACATAGTCACGTCTCTAATCTTTGCTGTAGGGAACCACCAGTCATGTAAAAAAAGCCTGTGCTGCAAGCTTCAATTTTCAAATAGAAAAACGAAGATATCTCAACTCTTGTTTCTTAGATGGAGAATAAAACTCCTTCCGATACTAATATATGATATTGATAAAACAAGAAATAAACATACCTTCATAGCGTATATTCTCTTGGTAGACTTAAGTTCTACCATTAAAACTTTAGCATAGGAACCACGACCAATAACCTAGAATATGTTTCGTACAAAAAATGCTAAAATTAAAGAATACAAATTTTAAAAAACCGAGTAATCTTAATATTTTAATCATTAATGTTAGCAACTTGATTGTGTATATTAAATATTTTTCAAAATTTGGTTGTTTGATAAAGCAGAATTCATCATCTAAAAAAGAAAATTTCTGCTACTGAGGTTACAAAAAATAAGAATAAGAAAACTAGATTTTGAGACAAGTAAATTGTTTAAGAATACCTTTATAAGATCGAAATCTTGTAAGCTGACCATATTGGTTTTAGGAGGAGCTGACCCTTCAGGGACATCCTACACCAACAGACAAGTTTATTTAACAAGTTCGAGTTTTAAACTAACTAATACTATTCTTTACACTTTAACTACCGATACTTCTGTTATACTAATAACTAGATTAAAACCATTATAACTTTATAAATGTTCAATGAACATGAGACACAGGAATAGTGCAGTGTAAACAGACCCATTTTGCTTGATAACTATTTGCTTTGTAACAACAGCAAATACATTTAAGTCCTGCTTCGTCTTCCTAACCCAGCTTTTACTGGTTCTCACTGTAAGAATCCTGTAATAGCTGTAGAACCTAACTTTGATTACCACCATGATAACTTACTTAAACCACTGCAAAAAAAATGAATAACCACGAGAAATCTTAATTTAACAAAACTTCAAGTTATCCAATTATTATTGAATCATATAATATCCTAATATTACAAAAAACTACATCCAACAACTTAGTTGTTGTAAACTGTAAATAAATGATTGTACAAGTTCTAAAACTCACAGCCTAGCGTCTGCTAGGATGCCCCTCCCTCCAAAATAAATTGTTATCCTTTCTTTCAAAATTAGCCGCAGTGCTTAGGATCCGGATCCAAGGGGTAAAATATCAACAAAAACTGCAAAAACAACTTTTTTACTCCTAAGAACCAACTCTTAGGTTAGAACATCAAGTTTTAGAATAAAAATAAGCGAAAAAAATAAAACAAAAAATTTAAAAATTATTTTTTTAAAAAAGAATTCAGTAAATCTTAAAGAAATGACCTGGATCCGGATTTGGATCCATTTTTTTCCAGTGCGGATCCAGGATCCGGTCCTCATCAAAATTAAGTGGATCCTAAGCACTGATTAGCCGAACACCATGGAATTTGCACGAACAAGAAGAAAATGGAAAACACGAAATATAAAAATGTAAAAATAATTGCATCAATATTATCTAATTATTTACAAAATATTCTTTAAATTAAAATTCAAAAAATAAATATTTAAAAAAATGCTTGTGAAAGTGTCTGTTCCTGTCTGCCCCCAGCTTCAGTATCTGCCCCCTGGCTGAGCTCAGGTCCGGGTAGGAAGCTCTGCTCAGGAGTCACGTTCTCCGAGTGGTTGTGTAAACCACGAGGCATAGAATCAACCTGAACAAGGAAACATCAAGTTCCAAAACTCAATACGAATGCCTTTTCATGACATTTTAAAACTAAAAAATTGCAAAATAACTTGGCGGATTTTCGGTTATTGTCGTCTTCACGTTTTAATGCCGATAAACTCAGATAAAAATCAAATAAAAAATCAGATGTTTTTATTTAGAGTTTGGGAAGAAGTAACAAAATTGGCACTGTAATGCAGAAAAAAACCCGAAAAATAATTTTACTTCCTTAGATCACGTGATTAAAATATGTTTGATTTGTGTTAATCATAACTTCTTATTATTATTATCTATATAATAAAACAAGACATTCGTAAATATATATGTTAACTATAGTCGGCCAAACGGCTGGACCGAATGGACTGAATTTTTTTATAGACACTCATGGGTGGCCGGGGGGTGTTAGAGGCTAAAAAAATTAGAATTTTTTTCTTCTTCAAAATTTGAAAAAAAAAAAAAAAAATTTTCTACGTGCAACGCCGGGCCCATCAGTTAGTTATTATTATAATAATAACTGAAGATTGGGATGATTTTCAGGAAGTACTGTACATAAAGCGAAGCGTCTTCTTCTTAATGAACCAATATTTTCAAAATAATATTCTTAACACTGATTTGATAAAGTATGATTACAGCTATTAAAACGAAAATCAAGATTTTATCCATGATCCAATGAATATTGTTGAAATCAAGATAATTCAAGAAAACCCGGAAAATTTCTCAATATTTGAAGTCCCCGAAAAAAACATATTTTTAACAAGAAATTGTTATTGAACTGAACCAGGGTTAGAACAGTTTATTTTAAGGTGATGATAAAACCATTCTCATTTATCACATATCTCAGTAAACTACACAAACAGTCGCTTGTGTATTGTGTATTTCAGAATCTTTTATTTAGCATGCTGCATGTTTCATCCTGTCACTTTTTCATCAAAATAATTCGAAATATTTTAAATATAAAGTCAAAATCATCTTACATCCACACTGCCTAAATTTGAAACAAACTTGATAAGCACACGGCTTAGCTCACAAAACAAAAAGTTATTTTTATAACAAAGTGAATACTCAAAAACATCTAACATAAAATTTGCTTTATTAAAAATAAGTGTAACAGACCAAGGGGGAGGGGGGAGGTATGACATTTAACCTGAAGCAGCTAAAAATTTTATTTGAATCGATCGATATTTGATGGAGTGTTCGCGAAAAATGAAAGGGGGTATAGGTTGACGTCGAATAGAATTTGATATCGATCGCTGTTATCTGTTGCGTCTATAAGGAGAATATGTTTAAAAACGTCAACACCCAACCGTCCAACGTGAATTTGTTTGGACGCTTCGTTCTGTGTTAGACGTTTTAAAACATTTTCTCCATAGGCGCAACAGAGAAGTAAAATTGGTAGCGATCAAGATCGAATTATATTCTATATCAGCCTATACTCCCTTTCCTGTAAGTTAAATTTATACTCAGGATTTCTAAGATTCTCATAAGTTATTGCTGAACTTATCTAAAACTTGGACAACTTACCAGTGCAACATCGCATACAACACGGCACAGCTTATGACACTTCTTGTGTATGAGGAGTTTGCACTGTACACACTTGAACCCCTGCCGACCCAGGCCCCAGATACGGTCGTGACAGTAAGCACAAAATGCTTTCCGGTTAAACCTCTTTGCCTATAAATAAAAACTTAATTATCGAATAATCAAAAGAAAATATGAAAAAATTAAATTTTGAAAAAAAAATTCAATAACAATTTTTTTTAATAAAATGCTAATTCGTTACCAATAGAAATTAGAAAGTAATGCAAAGTAATAACCAATGCCAATGCCAATGCCAAAGCCAATGCCAATGCCAATGCCAATGCCAATGCCAATGCCAATGCCATTGCCAATGCCAATGCCAATACCAATACAAATACCAATTCCAATACCAGGCAATACCAGGCAATACCTATCAATACAAAACCAATACCAATATTAAAACCTTAAAAAAAAGATAAAAACGCGATTAATTATTAAAATATTTTATTTTAAAATAAACCTGATTAAAAGTCCATATAAAGAACAATCGTGTAGTCCATTTATAAGTAAAGTTTAGTCCCTTTAGTCCCAACTGGCTTGTTATATTGCAAGCAAGTATAAGATGCATGGGGGTATGGTGTACTAGACTATTTTCTACACATTATATTTGCACCAAAACTCTTTACTTCACTGCTAATCTAAAACATGTGGAGTTTTTGCGTAAAAAGTTTATAATAAACAAGACTACAGTGAACGGGACGGGGGGGGGGGGGCTTATATAGAAAAATAAAGTTATTTCTTTATATAAAAATATTAAGATTATTACCATTCTGAATAATGTAACGAGATATATGAGGAATGATTAATTTTATGCTTAAAACGTGGTAAGTGAACTATTTTTAATTTTGCAACAAGTTGAATTTCTTAAATTTCATAAAAAACACAAGATTTATAAATTTTTTAAATGTTATTCAGCCATGAAATATAAAGAAACCGAAATGGTTAGAAATCTAAGCTGAAAATGGGATATCCTTAATCCTAATCAGTTAATTAATCTGGAGATTAATAGCAGGAGGAAAACAAGCATTATTTAATCTGGAGATTAAGAAAAAGAGTGGATCAAGCATTAATCCCGATATCCACCATTCTAAAGTTCCCAGCTCTAAGCTGAAAACTTTAGAATGGGATATTCTGAATCCCGATATGTAAATTAATTTGGAGATTAATAACAAGAGGAAAACAAGCATCATTTAATCTGGATATTAAGAAAAAGAGGAGATCAAGAATTAATCTCGATATACACCATTCTAAAGTTTTCAGCGCAGGGGTATTTTTTCCATGTTTTTTTGTGTAGTTGGGAAAAATAAATAAATAAAAAATAAAAGAATTAAAAAATGATTAACTTAATTTAAAAGTGGGCCTCCTCCGTTTAAAAAGTGGCATAATTGATCTGTCCTTTTATATTTCTGATATTCAAGTTCTGCTGCTTTAATATCGGCTTTTCTTTTTTCATCTTAAAAACGACGAAAATAGCAAAAGACGACATTTTCGTGCTGCTCAGAATTAGATAAAGAGGTGTTAAGTATAGATGAGAATCGTGCATGCAATTCTTTGATTAAGGGTTCACTAGAAGTTACGTCGATAGTCTCTTTATTTAAAGTAATTATAACCACAAGCTAATTAACTATCATTTCGTATAAATCAATACCAAGCACCCTTGGAACAATGTGATTATGAGAAGTATCTGGTTTGATAAACAATAATATTTATATCTGGAATACATTCCTCTCTAGCATCTAATCTGCACTGATAAGGATACGGATCAAACTACACCCAGATCAGATTTATTCAGGGGTTACAGGGACACGCCACGATTTTGATAATATTAGTGGAATTTTCGGAAAATTTTCTAGAAATGAAAAAATTATCTTTTTGAAGGTTTTTTTTGTCAAAATATTTACTTCAATTCTGACCAAAAAATCTTGACTAGTGTTAGATGCGCTATTGTGACATGAATTTAATTGTTTTAAAAAAATGTTTTGATATTTTAAACAAAAGTAAACGCCAAAAAGAAAAACGAAAAATGTCGTAGAAAATGTCTTTTTTTGTAAAAAAATGAAGAATTAAGGATTCAAGGGATGAAAATTAAAAAAAGCATCATTATTTTATTACAACATTATTAATAAGTTCTACCCTCATAAAAGAACCATCTAACCATTCTCAGGGAAAGTTAGTAGATTTCTTAATTTTTTTTAAGTTTCCAATTTAATCCCTTAGCTTATTTGTGAAATATACTTTTGTAAATGTTTATGCTTTCTTTCTTTCCGGACCAATCTTTTCACGATTTAGTATTCGGTAATAAAAACATTTTCTCTCAGTCTCGTAAACAAGGCTTGTACGCAATAGTAATATTAATTTAGAAATACGCATTACGCTATTTTTTATCATCAATGGTGAAATTATTTTAGAAGATACGCATTTTTTGTTTTAAGTAAATCAAATAATTTCAAATAAGTTAACATTTTGTTTTGAAATTAATTATGTTTCTTAAAACGTAGTACAATTGATTTTTTAATCAACTTGATCAATAATCATACAATTTGTGAATGTAAGTTACGTGTATACACTGATACAGATCACTGAAATATAAACTAAGTCATAAACTTAGACAGCATAGACTTTAAAGTGTCGTAACGCCTTGTCCTTTGGGTTTACTTCACCAACTTATTTCTACTTTTTTGTAGCCCATGACAAATACATTTAATAAAAAGCAAAGCGCTTTTTTCTAGCTTAAATTAAAATGAGTAATTACTCTAGATTTTGTTTGAGAGCGTGCACATCTTGGTTTGCAGTAAGATTCAGACTACAGATCATCACATAGCTTATTTAACAAAAATGTGTTAATTTCTTCAGATATTGAATGTTGAAATTGTGCGATTATTGTTTTGCTTTATGCAATTACAGTGGAAACAAGAAAAAAGTCAAATGATTGTCGCCTTCATATTTCTCTATGAAAGGTCTCTTTTGTAATTTGTAACTGAATTATTTTTAGAAACAAAGCTAGAAACTTTTAATGGACTAAAAACCGATTAACCGAGCTCTCAATGGCCAAATCCAAAAAGTCAAAAGTCCAAAGAAAGTTCAACATAACTTTACTGATATTTCACTGGTAAAACTAATCAATTTTAGTCAATTTTAATAAATAAGAGATTTCAGAGTTTAACTATTTCCATTTATAATTTCCCATCTCAGATTACACGAAACAATAACAGTGGCGTAATAAAAATAATGCTAATAATAAACGGCCATGTTCTGTCTAATGCTTGAAAGGGTTTCTGTTTACACTATATTATTGTCAATACTATTTGTAAATAAACAATAAATATATAGATAGATAACATAAATATGGGTCAATATACACTTACACACACGGTTACACCTTGATTCTCTACTCTCTATGTACAATGTACAATGTAAATGGTAAAAAAAAGTTATTTTAAAAGCATAATATATTAATATGATATCGATTATGAATAGCTTACAGTTCGGGCTAAAATTCTGAATTATGTATCGCATAAGTACCAAGGAATATATGGGAAGAATGAGAAGTTTGTACGATACAAAGTCCGTAGTATAAAATACATCTTATCCCTGTAATATTAGCTTATTTAACGGTAATATATCACAGTAGTGGGAGGAGTAGGGGNGGGGGGGGGGTGTAATATGCAGGTGAGAGAATAGGGTTATGTGTCAGAATAACAGGGTAGGGGGAGTATGATAAGATTAAAGGAAAATGTGAGTGAAAACTACGTTCTATTGAAGTCTTGGCTAAATCATAAGCTGCATTAATTTACATGCTTTAAGACATTTAAAACAGTTTTTTTTTCTTTCAAATAACGTCCAATTTCAATCAATCGAAGTTTTAAGGTAAAACAAAAAAGCATCAAACCAATCATTCATTCTACCAACCGATCAACCAACCATTACCAGCCAACCAACAAAACAACCAAGCAACCAACAAAACAACCAACAAACCAAACAACCAACCAACAAAACAACCAAGCAACCAACAAAACAAACAACCAACCAACCAACCAGCCAACCAACAAAACAACAAACAAACCGACCAGCCAACCAGCCAACAAACCAACCAACCAATCAACCAAGCAACCAAACAACCAAGCAACCAAGCAACCATGCAACCAAGCAACCAACCAACAAACTAACCAACCAAAAGAAACAACCAACAAACCAAGGATCTCGAAAATGAAGATATGAACTAACCTGGAATATATGTCCGTTAACTTTATACATTTTCCTCCATCTTCTAGCTCCCCGTCTGTATATTGATCTAGAACAAAATAATAATTAAAAATAGGTAAAAAGTTTTAATTATGAACAAACTACAAAAACCCATTATATAAATAAGATACATTTTTGCAACAATTAAAAATCAAATTCTATGCCAAATAAATGCTTGATTTCACTGTCAATGCTAATTTTTCGTAGATTTCGTGATTAACAAAATTAAGTTTTAAAATAAAAAATAGCATTGAATGATCAAAACTAAATATCATAGTAAATTGTTCATTAATGTTATTCTTGGTAAAAATTTCCCGTTCTAGACTGTTCTTTCAAGTTTAAATCTTCTGTTCTAGACTGTTCTTTCTAGTTTAAATCTTCTGTTCTAGACTGTTCTTTCTAGTTTAAATCTTCTGTTCTAGACTGTTCTCTCTAGTTTAAATCTTCTGTTTTAGAATGTTCTTTCTAGTTTAAATCTTCTGTTCAAGACTGTTCTCTCTAGTTTTAATCTCCTGTTCTAGACTGTTCTTTCTAGTTTTAATCTCCTGTTCTCTCTAGTTTAAATCTTCTGTTCTAGACTGTTCTTTCTAGTTTAAATCTTCTGTTCTAGACTGTTCTCTTTAGTTTAAATCTTCTGTTCTAGACTGTTCTCTCTAGTTTAATTCTTCTGTTCTAGACTGTTCTCTCTAGTTTAAATCTTCTGTTCTAGAATATTCTCTCTAGTTTAAATCTTCTGTTCTCGACTGTTCTCTCTAGTTTAAATCTTCTGTTCTAGAATGTTCTCTCTAGTTTAAATCTTCTGTTCTAGACTGTTCTCTCTATATCAAATCTCCTGTTCTAGAATGTTCTCTCTATATCAAATCTCCTATTTAAGAATGTTCTCTCTAGTTCAAATCTCCTGTTAAAGAATGTTCCCTTTAGTTCAAAACTCCTGTTTTAGATTGTTCTCGTCCGTTCAAATATCCCGTTTTCTCTAGTTTAAAGCTCCTGTTCTAGAATGTTTTCTCTACCTGTCCTCTCCATGGCAAGGTTGACCAGGGGCTGGTGGAAGTCCTGGGAACACATGTACGGCCAGCTCAGCCTCCTTGTTCACCTGGATAATTATTCTTTGAAAGTGATGTAAGTTAAAAACTAAACTTTCCGATTCATAACTATAGCGTAAACTTTTATCTGAGCATTGATTATGAAAACATCGTCATTTTTTAAACATGTATTTTCCAACTGGAATCAGCCGCAAGTCTCTTTTAAAGACAATTCACAATTGAAAATGATCAATTTTCTCGTTAAAAAACAAAGATACCACCATCATTTTGGAAAAGAAAAAGGTTTAAAGGGTAAAATTGAAAGAAGTAGAGAAGTAGAGCAGAGCAATAAAATAATCCAGATTTAATTATTTTCATTTTCAAAATTGCAAATGAGTGGCCAATTCTTAATTTTGTTCAAATGAGTCAAAGATTATTTTTGAAAATATGTATCTCTATAATGCAAGCTTAGTCGCATATATTGTAATAGAACATGTTTTCAAATTTGACAAGTGGTTTCACAGAAACGGTTTTACCTCATACAATCTGATAGCTTCGTCCAGTTCCTCTTGGGATTGTACAATACAGGGATCCCCTTCTTCATCCATCCATTTGACAGTTAAATCCTTAAATGAAATGAAATGAAATGAAATGAAATGAAATGAAATGAAATGAAATGAAATGAAATGAAATGAAATGAAATGAAATCAAATGAAATCAAATCAAATCCCATCAAATCAAATCAAGAAGCTAGGCCAGATTGTCAAATAGCTCCTTGATCTAACCGAGGTGTATTATCACTAGACCTTCTAAGAGAAAGATGTGCACATTTTTCTTTAAAATGATTAACTCCATTCCCTCTGAAATGAGAGAGGGGGCTGGGGACAATATTGTTAATCCAGTGAGACAGTTTATATCTAGGAAATGAGAGAGGGGGCTGGGGACAATATTGTTAATCCAGTGAGACAGTTTATATCTAGGAAATGAGAGAGGGGGCTGGGGACAATATTGTTAATCCAGTGAGACAGTTTATATCTAGGAAATGAGAGAGGGGGCTGGGTACAATATTGTTAATCCAGTGAGACAGTTTATATCTAGGCAATGTTAAGATATTTGTCTTTTATAATAAAACTTTTTCCTCGCAGGAGTAATAAGAAGTAATGGCTGGCAGTATGTTTTCATAGTTCTAAGCTTCTGACAAAACTGCGAGGGGTCGAACTCGGAATAATAAACAGTTGAGGACACTTTTTTCTAACTGAGCCTGGAGTTAAAGTTGTCTAAACTAAACTTAACACCAGCTCGTATTTCAGAACTTTTACCAAACTTAAGGTAAACTCATCTAAACTTATCCTTTTCCTTTACAGTGATAACCAGAAAACACTGGAACAGGAAGTCGACTTATAAACTCAAGTTACGACTTTAAATAGTACAATGAACATAAGGTACAGTAATTGCGCAGCGTAAACAGACCCATTTCATTTAATAAGTGCTTTAATAACTTCTTATTATAGCTGTTTGCTTTGTAACACAATGAAATGCACTTCAGTATTGGTTTAATGTCGTCTTTCTATTCTACAGTTAGCTGGTTATCACTTTAGTTTTAAAATTAATTTAATTAACAGACAAAATTGACATCTTCCAATAAAATTGACAGGGTCAAAAGACCTTTCATGCACTCTGAGAGAAATCAAGGTTAGTTTAGTTTTAGTTTTGTAGATTTGTAGTTCCAGATAGGAGCATAGAGATGACGTCTTTATGTATCCAGGTCTAATTAACAAATTTGTGAAAAGTCCAAAATGAAAACAAAATATTAATTTAAAATGTTTAACCTGCTCTGGCATAAAACCCACCAACTCCTTCATCTCCTTCATCAATGTCTGATAGGTCATCCCGTGATCAATATACGTGATGTAAACCTACAATATTATCAGCTTAATAATATATCATCCCGTGATCAATATACGTGATATAAACCTACAATATTATCAGTTTAATAATAGATCATCCCGTGATCAATATACAGGATGTAAACCTACAATATTATTAGTTTAATAATAAATCATCCCGTGATCAATATTCGTGATATAAACCTACAATATTATCAATTATTAATAGATCATCCCGTGATCAATATACGGGATGTAAACCTACATTATGATCAGTTCAATAATAGATCATCCCGTAATCAATAAACGTGATATAACCCTACAATATTATCAGTTCAATAATAGATCATCCCATGATCAATATTCGTGATATAAACCTACAATATTATCAGTTTATTAATAGATCATCCTGTGATCAATATTCGTGATATAAACCTACAATATCATCAGTTTATTAATAGATCATCCCATAACCAATATACGTGATGTAAACCTTCATTTAATAGTCTAATAATAGATCATGTCTTGTTAAATTTACCTTGAAAATATTCAATGTAAATTGTACAGAAGGGGAAAATCAATTTTGCCTTTTTAAACATAACAACAAATTTCTTTTTAGAAAAATTGTTAAAGAGACAAACCTGTGGCGTTCCGAGAGTTTGTAGAGTGCAAAGAAAGGTGTGAGAAGGAAAACAAAATTAATTTAAGAAGTTACCTTTCCATTGTATGCAGTTTTAACCCGTATCTCAGGGATATCGCTCTCATTATGCCCCTGACGGGACATGTTCATAATCTCGTGCGGCATCCTCTTCAACTACTCCAACAGAAACCGCGTGCAACTTCTCAGCATTGAAGTAGCTACAGCATTTTAAATCTGAAATAGTTTTGACAAAAAGATGATAAAAAGGTGACCAATCCATTCAACTGAATCATTTTCAACAAGCGTTCTTTTACGCATCCAGATTAGTACTGTTAAATAATCAAACTCACGTTGAACTTAAATTAATTCTACCAGTTTTAATCTTCAGCATAAATTTTTCATAAATCAAGAGAAATTGTTTAACGCACAAGTGTAAAGTTCTTGTGGGTGACTGAACGAGTTTCATGTAACTGGTCAACTGTAGGCCTGATCTTTAGGCTCTCTAAAGAATGAATGATAAAGTTCAAATCAACTCAAGCGTACCTAAGACTGATCAAGTACCAGGGATATTTTAGTTTCATAAAAATATAAGTTTTAGATTGATTGAACGTCAATTTTTAAAGAAAATAAGACTTGATTTATTAAAACAATAAATCTGAAAAAAAACAATACTATCTCCATAATCTTCCGACGTTTAACATTACTCCAGTGTATGCAATACATAGATGTCATGGTTGTGATTTTTCGCATTCTCTCTCTTAGCTCTCAACCTGAACCTTAGCTATAATATCACATCAGGGTAGGGAACGTTAACGAGTTTTCTGCCCTGAATTCTAATACTCAGAAACGAATGCCAGAGAGGATAATATGCTAAAACTGATTTTTATTTCTGGGAGGAGTAGGGAGGGCTAAGCTACCTGAGTACCGAACTATGACTGGAGCCGGGTTTGGTTTGGTTCTAGGTCTGTGTTATCTCTCCTCCTACCTGTTCTGTCTAGTACCCGGAGCAATACTTATACACTCATCCTTTCATGTGTATAACACAAGATTACATGAAACTGTAAATTGCAGGAAACGGGAGAAATCTTGAGACACAAAATGTCAAGGAAACATGTATGCGTTCAAGGGAATGGATAAAGGGGGAATTTCAAAGAGGAATGAATGACTAGAGAAACCTGAAGTTCAGGAAAAACTGAATATAAACACTTTATCGAAAAAAGGTACAACATTTCCAAGTCCCTTAAAAGTTATGACGAGGGGTAAAAGGGAAATTTATATTTCAACCAAGGTTTATGTAATAAAAAGGTTGCAAGGAGTCCGAGTCATTCTCTTCGTATGTTGCAAAAAAACGTAATTATGGGTTATCCGATATAATAATCATTTACAAGTTTAATGGCTATCAAGACTTTTCTGAAGACCCGAAAACCCCAATGAAGCCATAGATTTCACTGTTCCGGGGGGGGGGGGGGCAATAGCCCCTTCCCACTCATGTTTACGCCCCCATGGAAGCCCTTTGCTATCCAGTAGTTTAATAAACACTAGTGTTGAAAAATAATATTTAATGAATTCAGACTTGAGAATGAGAAACCTTAGAATTACAATAAATATATGTGCGTCAAATCACGCTCCATTGAACTAAAATAGGCTAACACCTTGTAAATATTAGAAAAAACAAATATTAATTAAAATGTCGTCTTCCAGAATAGTCCGAGCTAATTTTTGAAAGGGCTGCAAAAAGCCTGTCCGTACTTAACACAAGATTTATTTACAGTCAACTATTTGGTAACTAGCCGTGCAAAAGTCATTATTAAAGTAATCATGGTTAAAAACCCTGGGTTATCCTGGGATTTTACTGTTGAGTTAAAATCTTTAAAAAAAACTAAATGTAGTTTGATGTAATTTAATAAAGGATAGTTGTAATATAACGGGTATCATAGAAGAACTTTTTACCTGTCTTTGTCTTATAAACTTCCGTTCAGACAACTCCTACAGATCTTTTTTTATTTATTTAAAGAAGATCTACAAAATTATATTTCTTCCAAATGCTTATTGGTTTATTTGCATTTGTATAAAATCAATTTCATAAGGCCGAATTTTCCCGTTTTTAGAGCTCATTTTTCAAACTTCAGGTTCATGCCTAATGTACTATCTTTTAGCAAATATTATTATTATTACAAGGAGACAACCCATCATTCAATGAATTTACAATATACAAAAAAAATTTCAAAATATTTGACTGTGAAAAATTTTCTGATCTAATGTTCAGTACACCTAAAGATTTGTATATTCTAGAAAATATTTATATTTTCTTAGCAGTACGTAGAATAAAAGGGAGTGACTATAATTCTACTTTGGTGGAGTGAAGGAGCTGGGGTCTAATTCAAAGTAATCAACCAAAAAAACTTATTTTGGTCGGCGTTCATATCAATACATTGAAGACGATTTATATCTAGCTTTTTTCAAATTACAAGTTAACAAGTAAACAAAGAGAAGCTGTCAATTCTTTGTTTCCATGTTATGTGTACCCTATCCATGCTGTTTAAAAGCTTGTTAGAAATCAAAATTGACATCGAAAGTCGTCTTCATAACATTGATATATACGACGACGACGAGTGTAGGAAAGAAATTCAGTACAGAGCGGAGAAGAGATATTTAAGAAGCAACAATGAAGAAAGATTTTTTTAACACATTTTAAAACAATTAACAAACATGCTACTTTGATAAGGAAGTTTAAAATTTAGTTCTATATGTACAATGTACATCTTAATGACAAAAAATGTACCTGCTAACTAAGGTATATATAACGTTTTTTGTACTGCCAAATAGGAGAAACTACGATACTCAGAATGAATAAATAAACAAAATAACAATTTGTAATAAAACTGCGACTAAAACAAAAATTCTAAAATTTTATTCCGTTCTCCGCACACCGCCGATAACTGCTGGTCTACAATCGGCGGCACACTTGAATATTGACGTGAATACTCGGCTTATCCCGATTTCTTTTGGTTTCTCGAGACCTCGCATTGCTCTCTGTTTCATTACACTCACAAACTCCCTGAATATTTTTAAAAATATTTTTTTTCGCAGATTAGAACATAAATTAGTTTTGTGAATATTGTCTAAATACATGTCTTCTTCTTAGGACAAAGTGTAATTTTGAATAATTTTCTCACTTATTTGATAGTTTTCCATCGCCATTGTCATCGAAGAGATTGAAGACGACATCTACTAGATGATCTGACAAATCCACGTGAGCAACAGTTCTTAAAAAAGTATAAATTCTATTAAAATTATGATTAAGAAACAGAAAAATTAAGTCAAATCCAATCGGATCACATGAAAAGTGTGGGGGATTTGCTAATTAACAGTTAATAAGTTTCAGAGTTGAGTTTCAACATCAATACTATTAACTATCATAATAATTGCGACATGACATGAAAATTTGAAATATAAGAAAATAAATAAAACCCAACCTGGCAACATGCTTCATGGTTGCCCTCTCAATAGGAGCTCCAGCAATAGTATGATAGGTCAGAGCTATATCTATATCATTGATACTGAACAGAACCTGAACATATTGATACTGAACAGAACCTAAACATATTGATACTGAACAGAACCTGAACATATTGATACTGAACAGAACCTAAACATATTGATACTGAACAGAACCTGAACATATTGATACTGAACAGAACCTGAACATATCGATACTGAACAGAACCTGAGGATATTGATACTAAATAGAGCCTTAACATATTAATACTGAAAAAAACCTCCTAACATATTGTTACTGTACAAAACCTGATCATATTGATACTGTACAGAACCTAGACATATTGATACTGTACTGAACCTAGACATATTGAGACTGTACTGAACCAAAACAGTGAACATATTGATACAATACAAATCCTGAACATATCAAAACTGAGCCCACAATTTAAAAAATTCAGGAAAATACGGCTCGGGTCTAAGCGGTCGTTGGGCCTTATTTACGGCTTGAGCTTTCGGATTCAAGTGGCATCTTATTTTCCACAGAGTTGAATTCAAAAAACCGGTTTAATATTCTATTTGGCGAATTTTCATGGTAGGAATTGGCGCATTCCGGGTTTTTATGAGAACAAGATTCAACAGAGCCTCAATCTCCACTAAAACCAACCAAATTCTTTAAATTCCATCTAAGGCTGGTTTTATTTTCATTGGGCCTAACTCCTTAAGTCGAGCCGAAGATTTTGCAGCTCTCAATCATGTGACACAAGCTGTCGTCAGAGTTGGGTCGAAGATTGTGTCTTAAAGTCGGGTTTAAGGAATTTCGGCTCGAGCCGAAGTTTTTAAATCGCAGAACCCAAACATATTGATACGAACCTGTACAGTTTACAGTATACATGTTGAACTAAAATAGTACCTGATAGAAATTTAAATAATCTTTAAGTGTAATTCCAAGGCTTGCGTCATCAGAATATATTTTGCGGACACGTCTTAGCATTTTTGTCTTCTTCTTCGACGTAAACCCTGCGTAGGCAATTAGAAGTTCCGCGAAGTCCCGTTCTGAGATTGTTCCGTTCTCCTGACCCCCCTTCTTTCTAAACTCTAGCTCAAGGATCTCTTCTTGAAGACGACGCTGGAAATCAAGGAATCTAAAATCAATAATTAAAAAAATGTTTAAAATTGATGTCTTCTTTCACATTGTAAATTGCATTTAGACACAGATACAGTAAAATATGTTTAAATGTAGGCTGTAGCAGTTATCAATTCTATGTATATGAAGTTTGTCCGATCATAACTCAGGAACCCCCGGAACGATTGGCCTCACATTTTGATTGGGGACATCACGTGAACCACGGGAATGTTCTTAGATTGGTTTTAAGATTCTCAGTTGAGTGGGTCGACTTTTATAGCGAAAAGTTAGTTTCCCGGTTTCGTTTAAGTGCAGGTAACGTCGGGAGTAACTATGAGTACCCTGTGCAACGCGGGTTCCCAAGAGCTAGAATGAAATAATAATTTTTTCCATTTTCTTTACAAAATGCTCACGAAAACTTTAAGTGGATTCAATATTGACTAAAAGTAAAAATCCATCAACACAGCATTTATTTATATCTGATGTTTCTGCAAACGAATTTTAAAATGGTTTACGTGAGTCTAGCCAAGACAGTGCCAGGTCTAACTGCCAGAGAAGAAATACTGTACATAACAAGATAACTCATTGTTAACCCTGTAGGTCTGATTACCTTTCAACAGTCAGAGTTCCTTTCTTTTCCTTTCCGAAGAAGAAAGTGATGAGTCCTGAATTGATTCCCTTAAACGTGCTGCCCGTAACTCCATGGTCCCTGTGCCGAGCTCCAGTACTAAATATTAACTCACTATAAACCAATTCAAATCAGAAATACTGGGATTTCTGATTTTTTGTGTGTTTCTTGAACATTGAATTTGAAACATGCTGGAGCACTTAAAAATGCATCCTGAAGATATCATCACATTTCCTATTTGGGGTTCAAGCGTATTCATGATGAACTCAATCGAATTTAAAAGACAAAGGTTTGGCGCCCTTGGCAATAGTATTAATTATCCTTATGACATATTAAAAACTGAGGGAAATTTCACTGACTTTTTAAATCCTGAAGAGTATAGAATTAAATTTGGAGAAAATCCAGATATTCTTAATTACATAAGTTTGAAACATGCGATAAGAGTAGCTGTACAAAAATTAGGTCTTCAATTAGAAAATATTCCCCTATCTTTTCCCGCCCAACCTCCATTAATACGTCTAATTAACTATTCTACCAAAGGCTGTAACAGATGGGTTAAACTGGCAAAGAGATTAGAATTTTTCAATGCAAACTTAATGCTTAGAGAAAGGAAGTGGGAAATTGAACTTGGAGCCATGCAAGGAATTAACTTTTGGGGAAGATGCTATCAGCTTACAAGAACTATTTTTTATAACAATAAATTAAAATGGTTTCATTATCAAGTTGTAAGGGGTGCTCTAAAAACGAACTATATTATTGCTAGATTTATTCCTAACACCACCCCTAACTGTTCCTTTTGTGATCTGATGCCAGAAAAAATTGTTCACATGTTTTATGAATGTTTTGTAATATTTGACTTTCTACAAGATGTTTATGAATTTTTTATTAATAAATGGAATGAGGTATTGGAAATTCCCAGCAAAAAAGAGTTTATTTTTGGCAATCACTCAAAAAATATGTGGGATCCGATAAATCTACTTTCCTTACATGTTAAATATTTCATCTGGATTGCTAGATGCAGAAAATTCACTCCTAGATTAAATTCATTTCTTTCCTGGTTTAGATTTGAGCTCAAAATAAACCTTCTAGCTTATGGCGATGGTGAAAAACTCGCATACTTGAATGATAACAGTTATAATATGGAGGAGGTTCTTTTACTAGATTAACGTTTTTATAGCCTATGCTGTATTCTTATCTAAAAGAAACTATTCTAACTGTACATTCCTGTTCTATTCTCTCTGAGTTATAGTAATAATATATCCAACATTTAATACCTATGTATAATCAGTAATACATTTAGATGATGGACGCTACGAGCAGTGAAGAGAAAGATTTGCCAGTTAATACCGAGAAAATATTGCCAGACACTAGTATTCCTCCTCCACCTCTACCACCAGCATACAAGACCTTCTTATATCCTGCCTACACAGATAAACTCACCTCTGCATACCCAGCTGAAANTAATCTAATCAAGTATAATCAAGGATATATCCTCATATGTTGAACTGTTTCTCATAATTATAACCGTCAGATATTTACGAGATTGATTTTGATGTTCGGATCCAATATTTATTCACTTTTGAATTTAAGATCCAAGATTTAGTTATTTTATTGCATTTCTCCTTTAAAACGAAGATAAGAAACACAGAGCTGCATTATATTTTTTCTTTTTTTCTCGTTTTTTCAAGATTATATTTTCATATTTCCTGTTTGATCTTGTCTTCGTTTGTGTTTTCTCTCAAGTATTTAACAGTAAAGTACGAAAAGTACTTTACAAAGTCAAAATTTGGTGTCAAGACTGCTGCTCAATACTAAGTATGTCTTTCATAACAGAGCTGTCGTTAAATTAGATCTCAATTTTATATATTCCTGATCAAGTAGAGAGTATATAGCGAAAAGCCATTTGTTAAACCTGTGATTTTTTTTTTATATAAAGATATTTACGTCGTAATTTTTCAATAAAAGTTTGAAGAAGAAGAATTTGAAACATGGAACAGCATTTGTTGCTATGACTGAGCTAGTAAATAGCTGCTTATGCAGAACACGACCAATAAGTCAAGTTTTCCGTGAAGTCGACCAAAGAAGTGTTGTTACCTTCTCAAACTTCTCAGCATCAAAAGTTACCTACCTTGAAATTGATTAAAGAAGTGTTGTAACCTTATCAAACGTCTCAACATCTACAGTTCCCTACTTTGAACTTGATCGGCGAAGTGTTGTAACCTTCTCAAATGTCTCCTGCATCTACAGTTCCCTACCTTGGCCGGAAAAGTGTAACCTTCTCAAACTCCTCAGCATCTACAGTTCCCTACCTTGAAGTTGATTGAACAAGTGTTGAAATCTTCTCAAATGTCTCCAGCATCTACAGTTCCCTACCTTGAAGTTGATTGAAGAAGTGTTGTAACCTTCTCAAACTCCTCAGCATCTACAGTTCCCTACCTTGAAGTTGATTGAAGAAGTGTTGAAATCTTCTCAAACGTCTCCAGCATCTACACTCTACAGTTCCCTACCTTGAAGTTGATTGAAGAAGTGTTGTAACCTTCTCAAACTTCTCAGCATCTACAGTTCCCTACCTTGAAGTTGATTGAAGAAGTGTTGAAATCTTCTCAAACGTCTCCAGCATCTACACTCTACAGTTCCCTACCTTGAAGTTGATTGAAGAAGTGTTGTAACCTTCTCAAACTTCTCAGCATCTACAGTTCCCTACCTTGAAGTTGATTGAAGAAGTGTAGTAACCTTCACAAACTTCTCAGCATCTACAGTTCTCTACCTTGAAGTTGAACGGAGAAGTGTTGTAACCTTCTCAAACTCCTCAGCATCTACAGTTCCCTACCTTGAAGTTGATTGAAGAAGTGTTGAAACCTTCTCAAACGTCTCCAGCATCTACAGTTCCCTACCTTGAAGTTGAACGGAGAAGTGTAGTAACCTTCTCAAACTTCTCAGCATCTACAGTTCCCTACCTTGAAGTTGAACGGAGAAGTGTTGTAACCTTCTCAAACTCCTCTGCATCTACAGTTCCATCTCCGTTCAAATCAAACATCTTGAACGCTATTTGAAAATGCCTAAAGAAAAGAATAAAATAATCTTTGCAAAAACTTGATTAAACTTCATAAAGTTTCATTAAAAACATTCCTTTGTGAAAACTCAGATAAAATCTTAATTGTTATTAAAAAAAAGTTGTCAAAATTAAGAGACTTCTCGTTTTCATGTTGATTTACAAATAACACAAAATACAAAAAGTTACAATTCTAAATTAGTTGCAAAACCCCTCTAAACTAACATTAATTCAATACTTTCTTAACAAAGTCAAAATTTCAATTTCACTGAAGTCATGCTAGGCAGTCTATCCAAAGCACCTGCTTTTTTAAAGAAAATGTTCAAACATTTTTTCGCAAATATCTGCCTAGCAGAATAAGACATTTTGTTTTGTTAACTTATTAGGGATTGTATGTTAATATTTGAGAAGGTAAATGAGATTTAAGGATTAATCTCAATAAATTCCAAAAAACTGACCTGCGAGAGGTTGAGAGGACTGTGAGAAGGAAAATATAATCTGAGAAGGAGATTAGTCCTCCTGATCCTAGTTGATAGAATATACTGCTCCTATCTACAGTCTGTAGAGGAGATATATCTCCTATACTCTCTAATCCAACCTAGATATAGATAGATAGAATATACTGCTCCTATCTACAGTCTAGAGGAGATATATCTCCTATACTCTCTAATCCAACCTAGAGATAGATAGATAGAATATACTGCTCCTATCTACAGTCTGTAGAGGAGATATAATTCCTAATCTCTAATTTAACCTATAAATAGATAGAAGGAAGGAAGAGGAGAAATATCTACTAGACTCTCTTATATAACCTAGAGATAGAAATCTTGAAAGAAAGAGATAAAATGAAATTTTTTTTAACCTGTATAAACTGATCTAGTCCTAGATGATCTGGTTGTTTTTCTCCAGGAGATATTGAACGGAGGAAATCTTCAGGTGTCATCATAACCTAGAGAGAAACCAATTCTTTACCTTCTCATGTAAGCTTTTCAATCAGAATGGTATGTTAACTAGTTTTCAGAATCCAGATATATCTTATATTATGGTTTCTCGACCATTCAACATATAATTTGGAAGCCTACTAAGAAAGCTGTAATCCGTATACTTATCAAATTTGTTTGTTTATGTTTTACTGCATAGTGATGTACTTAGTAAAATGATCAAGTCCCGTAAACAAACACAGTACAGTTGTACCTCTTCACTGTTTATGTTGCAGAAATGGTCCATGAATGAATGAATGAATGAATGAAAGGATGGATGAATGAAAGGATGGAAGGATGGAAGGATGAATGAATGAATGAATGAATGAATGAAAGGATGAATGAATGATTGAACATCATACAACGTTTTGCAGAATAACAAAACAGTCTTTTACTGTTTAATACAATATACACTAGCAGACGTAACTTTATTTTGACCATGGAAATTAGGTGGTGCAATGATAATTCTTAACAAATACGATTTCGAATTCGTCTCTTAATTCCCACGTTTATTGGGACACCCTGTACAACAAAACAATAAAAAATAAATATAAATGAGATGCAAAATCAGTTGAAAAAAAACAGGATCTAAATACAAAATATATTTTAAAGTATAGCAAAATTTACTTATTTATTAGTCCCTTTAAAATATTCTACCTCTGAATGATCCTTGTCATCTGTGAGTTTATAAGTAGCAAAATATCTGAAAACTTTGTCCGGAGTTGAGTAATGACGAACTCGGTTCTCATATTCAATAATCTTCCTGTCTCTAAATCCAACCTTGTTCTCATGCCGCTTTTCTTCAAATTCCTAAAAAAAAACAATATTTTAATATTTCATAACAATGACGTTTTTGTTACTCACCAGTAGTGTTTCTTCAACCAATTCCTCTTCAGCTTTTAAACCAAACCAATTGCTTTTAGATTCCTCTGCTTTTACTCCAAATCTTCCGGATGGCGGAGCTACTACCGCCTTACCACCGACTGTTCCTGTTTGCAGAACTGGCTCCGATATTAGTTCCTTCATCACTTCATCCTTGTCGAGTCCTAGTTTCTCTGCCTCTTCAATTACCTCCTTCTTGTATCTAATTGAAAACCAATTACAAAAATGTACTGGTGGAAATATTCCCGGTCCCCTTAAAGGGACTGTAAAGGAAAAATGAAAAATGCAGGTAGAGGAGAGGGGGCTGGAGAAGGTTGAGGAAAGAGAGGGCTTGAGGTAGAAGAGAGAAGTGAGGAGGCTGGAGAAGGTTGCGGAAAAGGGGACTGGAGGCAGAGGAGAGAGGATAGGGGGCTTGAGAAGGTTGAGGAAAGAAGAGACAGGGGGTAGAGGAGAAAAGTGAGGAGGGTGGAGAAGATTGAGGAACGAGGGGGCTAAGGTGGAAGAGAGAGTGTTGGATTAGTGGGTCCGCGTCTTCTTTTCTATTCTGATAAATGTTGTCAGCTAATATAATTAAGGAAACATCATGGCAAAACCCCCTTTTCACTTTGACACTTTTATTCTAGATACAGAGATGAGGTGGAGAATTTTCAACCTCCTTCTCACAATTTCATTTCAGGTCAAATTTGATTTGATTAAAATATGCAAGGAAAGTTTACTTTTAATCTGTGATAAACATTTAGGTTTAAAGGGACAGTAAAGGAAAAATGAAAGGGGGTATAGACTGAAAGCTAATCACTTTAGCTCTCGATCGCGACCCATGAAAGTTATATCTGATGTTCCTATCTCGAGAAATTGATTTACAACTTTGTCAAATTTATACTAAAATTAATATATATACAATTTTGTATAAAAGTAGAGGGTTTAAATAGATCAAATTCAGCAAATATGCAACCAATCTGAAAACTATGATATCCCAGAGAAAGCTAATTGTAACGTAGGTTTACTCCAATTCTAATTTTATAATTGTTATTTCTATTTTTAATAGATTTAATTCATAATTTTATTTATACTTCCGTGTTACTTGACCAGAAGTTCCACCAATGGCAGTGCAGTAAAGTGGTCACGTGATACAGGCGGAGACACGTGACCAGTATACTGCTCTGCGATTGGTGATAGTTCTTGTCACGTGATTTAAGTTAAAGATTTTCTAAATTTTACATATATGAATTTTCGTATTCTTTTAACACGGTTTTATATCAATTTCTCGAGACAGGAACATCAGATAAAACTTTCATGGGTCGCGATCAAGAGCTAAAGTGATTAGCTTTCAGCCTATACCCCCTTTCATTTTTCCTTTACAGTCCCTTTAAACTAATTATTCCCTCCAATTCACCGATAACACCCCAAACAAATTTCAATAAAGAAAAAATTGGACTACAGCGGACAAGTTTGTCAATAAATACTTGCCACTCGAAAAAATCATTTAGTAACCTTAACTAGGCGATAAAAAAACACACAAAAATTGAAGAATATTTTACAAAAAGAAATTGTTTAACGTACCTTACTGCCGCCTGTGCCATCATAATAGCATGTACCGCCTTCTGGTCCGAACTACCGGGCATATCCCTAGTTTCTTCCCATGCTTTTTTCATGGCCGCCAGCCCTTCGTCGCCGTACTTGTCGTAAACCTCCGCGGCGAGACTACTCGACATATTATTTTCTTGTAAATATTCATAGTTTCTATCCCCGCCACTCAACACAAGGAACATGTACTAAATATTTAAATCAAATAAAACGGGGATAAACCTAGAATAAGTAGGATAAAGAAAGTCAGAAAGGATTCAAATGTAAAAATTTAAAAATACATAAAGCGAGGTTGTTGAACAAGATACGGATACTCTAGTTTGACTGCTTCTGCTGATATATCTTCTAAGGTTGAATTATCTAGTTGAATTATTCGAACCTAGTTCAACTACTCTTTTACTCCAAGAAGCTAGAGCTACAGAAAATGCCAATGCCAAAGATAATAATAATTATAATGATATTAACCAGCCCATATTCTTCACTAGAAATCAGTTTCAAGCAAGTGAAATTAAAAACAATATAATTTACCTGAACTATTTTTGGTACGTATGAGTCCTTGCTAAAGAATTCCTTCCAGTTGAAAAACGGAATCAAGAATATTGCCATGAGAGCCAAGAATAGAGGATGCGCACGTTTATTCAGCCCCTGTCGAAAACTCTGTCCAAATACATTATCCGGCTTTGCATCCCACCTAAATATAAATCACAAATATTTCGTGTCAGATATTCATAAATTCTTGATAGAAAAAAACACTTTTGAAAACGTCTCATATTTAAACAAATGTCTAATTTAATCCTTCATCTATGATTAATATGAGTGAACACTTACAACCAATACATCCAAAATATTTCAAATAACATCACTGAGATGCATAAAATCAACTATCTGCTACAAACAGTTTCCATATCCATGAAATCTGCCAAAAATACTATCGTAGTACATAAAATCTGCCACAAAGTAAAATCTAAAACTTTAGACACGTCAAAAAATCTCTAGTTTAACGCCTGAAGCTGAAAACTTTAGAATGGGATATTCTTAATCTCGATTGGTTAATTAATCTGAAGACTAATAACAAGAGGATAACAAGCATTATTTAATCTGGAGATTTAGAAAAAGAGGAGATCAAGCATTGATCTCGATATTCACCATTCTAAAGTTTTCAGCTCTGAACTAATTAGAAATTATTATTGAACCTGAAATATCTGAAGGAGTTTCCATTCCCAAACAGCTCTTTTTCCTTCCTTGCTCCAAGAGTTAAAATAGATCCGGAGTGAGGAAAAGTTCGAATGTTAAGGTTTCTAACAAGTACTTGCCGAGTAGTTTGAGATCGTCCAGAAATCCGTCCCAAACCTACTCCTGGAGTATGAATCCGTCCCAAACCTACTCCTGGAGTATGAATCCGTCCCAAACCTACTCCTGGAGTATGAATCCGTCCCAAACCTACTCCTGGAGTATGAATCCGTCCCAACCCTTTCCAGACTCCCATTGGAGAGTAACATTTTGAATAGACAGTCATCATTTAGTCATCTGAAACTATAAATAGTAATATTAAAACTAAATATAAATATAAATATATAGAAATATTTTTCTACAAAATAGACAATAGAAATATCATATTTATGTTGTTTTTTTTAAATTATTTGTTTTATATATTCACATAAGAATAGTAATTTTTGTGAAGTTTTTTGTATCACAGAAGGAATAAAATATACAATACGTGTATGCTGATGACTTACACTATCAAAACTGACTCACTATAAATTACAATCATTAAAAGTAGAACCTATCAGATCTTACAAAATGCGTTTACCCAAAATATCTTGGAAAATAAGTCATTTGGAGAATAAATTCTAGTTCGTTCTATGTTCACTTATTATTTTTGCAATAAAGCTGAATGAGGAAATTGCATCAGTTTAAAGGGGCTGTTAAGGTTAATTAAAAGGGATTACAGACTTATGCCTAAACATTTTAGGAGTTTATCGCTACCAATATTAGTTCCATCTGATGTTTCCGTCTCGATAAATTGAACTAAAACTGTGTCAAAGTTATAAAAAACTCGTATATACGTAATCTAGTCGACGGAGCCTTGTGACCAGATATTGAATGGCAATTGGTTAAAACTCCTCTCACGTGATATAGACCGAGCTACTTGACGGATACTGCACTGCAATTGGTGGAAATTCTGGTCACGTGGTACAGACGTAACAATAATATTATCAATTATAGCTATTAAAAATAAATAAGTATTTCATTCACATTTTAAAAGGAGCGTACCTATACTTTTAAGGCTCCTCTGGGTTGTCTTCATTTTCAAATTCGTTGCATATTTGCTGAATATTTAAAACTCTCACTCTTATACCAAATCTCATATATATGAGTTTTTGTATCAATTTCATCTAGACAAGGACATCAGATAGAACTAATATTGGTCGCGATCAACTCCTAAAATGTTAAGGTTTAAGGGAGTCCTCTTCTCTCATTGAATCGGAGAATTGGGCAATGATAGATAAAGGAATTAGCGAAACACATTGGAACCAATACAAATTAGATCGACCAATTCATAAATTCCAAGCTCTTGTCTAAAATATATATAAACAATTTGACAAAAGTATAATTTTGAAAGCACAGTTTTCAGAAAATAAAACAAACATTACAAAGACTTGAATTTACATCCAGATAATGGTTTAAGACGGTTATCTCTTGGGTTGAAAAGCGTTTACATATTCTTCGTATGCTCGGAGACTGGTACTACTCGGCTCACTGGCGCCCATTTCACCAACCTTAAATATATTATCATTTTAAAAATCATAAGTAATAATTTTATTAAATTATGGAAAAGTTCATTTTTATTTGTAAGTTAACAATCTCTGTTTGTTTGTATATTAATAATAAAATCATAAAAAATCTCTTTTTTAAAATAATACTGTTAACAAAAGTAATAATAGTACCTTGACATAGTTTTCATAAATTAATCTTGTTTTCTCCGATATAGGAGGCAGAAGACGGGCAGAGTAATCATGAACAGGAACTGGACAACCCCGTCGCCTGGTCAGAAAGAAATGATAAATTTAGAATAAGAAACACTTTTTAATACTCAGAAGTTTCCTTTCTAGAAAGAAATAGAAAGAATTTGAAAAGCAGATAAAAGTCAATTTGACCACTTTTGTGTGCTTTAATAATAATAATAAGCACACTAAACTAAGCAAGTGGGGTAGGTCAAATAGGCCTATGATAGGCTGGGTACTGTAAAAAGTCTGGCCGCGCCATCAAAGATGAAACCTAGCCTGCATAGGATAGGGTTGGGCCCATACTTGCCACGCGTCCCTAAGGCCGCTACAAGCGGTCGGTACGGTTCGAATTCAAGTTTACTCTAGTCCACTGTGTAAAATGAATTATGGCCAAAAAAGATAAAAAGATATGCGAATTTTATAAGTTTCCAGTTGAATTAAACAGCTGCATAGAATTTCCAAACAATTCCTTTTAACACTCGTAAGCATAGATCTTGCAATGATTTATAAAAAGTTTCAGAATAAAACTGAAAAAGAAATACAAATCGATCCTTTTTTACTACATTTTAAAGAGCCAAAAATGAGGATAAAAAATAATTTATAAATTGTACAACCTTCAATAAGTCTAACTGAGAGAATGAAAATGAACTGGGTTTAAAGTTGCATATTTTCAGCGGACAATAAATTGATCCTTGTTTTGTGTGTAGCTATTTTAATAGGACTAACAGAGAGCATTAAGAAGACAGGGTTTGCTGTTATCAATCACCTATTGATAGGTCTGGCTAGAGGATGAGGAACAGATGAGGTTGAAACTCGTTTCCCTGGCATAGGTCCAGAATCTCGAGATAAAGCACTGTTACTCCGGTACAAAGACATGTCTCCTGGAAACATCATATTTATAACAAATCCCAAAAATTCTTCCAAAAATATGAAACTAAAGGGATTGTTCATAAATTCATTAAAGGGCTTAAGTCAAAAGAACAGCGACAGAGCGTAGCAAAAATAACGTTCACAGAAACATCAGCTAGAAATAAAAAATGTCATATTTTAATCATAATTCGTCATTTTTACATTCATGAACATTCCATTTAGTTTAATTAAAAGTTCTCATTTTGTCAAAGTGATTTAAATATAATGTTTGAATTCCTGGGGGTGGCGGAGTGATTTCAACTCCATAAACTGTTTTCATACTTGGAAACATTGACTCGAAAGACACATATCTGTTCATCTTCTCGCCTATATAAAGAACAGGAATTAAATAAAATTATCAAATAAAAGCCAAATATTTGCAGAATTTATAAACAACCTTGACCACAAATAGGAAAGTTAACTAAATTTACTAAAATAAAATAAGAAAAAAGATCCTCTGTAATGTGAAGAAAACCAGGGGTGTAGATTTTCTAGAAAATATTATTTCCCCGAAAATTAAGGTATTTTTGCGTATGTCACAAACTTATATTTAAAGGATTTTATTCGCTAATTTGTAGCTAATAAATAAATTTTTGGGATAATAAGTATCAGAGGGACAAAAGTACTTCCCTTTGTCGGGCCTTTGATGTCTAATTTTTCAATGATCCCCCCCCCACCCCACCCCACCGCCCCAAGTCATTAAAATATTTTTTCTTAAAATTAGGAAACTCAATGATTTCATAAACTTCCAACTGTTAACCTGCTGATCTGTTCTGTTCTGAAAATGATGGATCTGTATCAGAACTATCAGAACCACTCTGATCAGACTCATCCTCAGTACTAGGACAAAACCCATCTTTAAAAACATATTTATGAACCATTTATCCAGTCTGTGAGCTGGAGATCAAAGAAAATCTGCGAAATCAATTTCAAGATGGCGTCCCTAGTGGTGGAGCTAGTACTATTGCCGGCAACACTGGGATTTTTCATCGATAAGTTGGTTTTACTGCTGGACATTTCTTCTCTCTTCTTACCCAACCTTACCCGTACACTGAAATAAATATTTCGAATTACAAAATGTTAAATGAAATATTGAAAGTCATGTTGTTGCTTACAACAATTAATATTTTTAATATTAGCAAATCATACAATGAGAGCCAGAAAACTCTGGAATAGGAAGATGTTCAGACTCAAGTAAAGACCCATTTCACTTAATAAGTTCCCAATAAAACTATTTGATTTGTAACAAGACATAATCAATAAAGCAGTGCTATAATGTCGTCTTCTTATTCCAGTTTTCTGGTTCTCACTGTAATATTTTTGTTAATCTGTTTCCAGATACAATAACCAACCTGAAGGGACTGAAGTCTGTAGTAAAGTTAGGCATATAATCTCTAACTGAATGATTTATCTCAGAAAATGCGAAAAGATCCTGGAGAATCAAGAAGAATAGAATAAAATAACTAAAAAGACTATTTCAGTTGAAATTCAATTAAAACAATAAATATTATTTAAATGAATACTGTTACTTTAAGTAAAAGGTTACTAGGACTAAAGTCTTAAGGATGGCTTATCATGGCTGCTTCATCAAAAATCCAAAAACTCTTGCATAATAATTATGGCCAATTGCTTTAAATAATTGACAAGAATTTAGCTTTTAATTTTTCTCCTTCCCTGTAGAACAGTAAGCTCGAATGAATGATAATAATCCTCTGAACTCTCCAGTAGGTCCTGAGCCTTGGTCAGCTCAGTGCAGACCTTCGTCCCGATATCCATGGAGTAGGGGAGGTAGTTGATTAACTCAGGGTTCCACCACTACAACACAATATAGTGTAATGTTTTCTCTAATAAATTGCTTAAAAGAGCTGTTTGAAATGCTACTTAAATGACTAGTCAGAGCTGGGATATTGTGGATATCGAGATCAAAGCTTGATCTCAATCTTTTTATTTATTTGTCGATTAATTTAATTTTTATTCGAATTCCCGCATGGTAACCGTACCCAGTATTATATTAGTATTAGAAAATGATCATGAAAGATCCCCAATGTGGAATACTCAGACCGCCGTCCGAGTAAGGGTCTCAGTCAGGTGCTGATTCCCCTACCAGTTCAATCTGCCACCATAATCTCATTTCCCCTACTCTAAGGGAAATCAACCAAGGCAGGTACAAACCAGATGCTGGCGGTAAGGGGTTAAAGCGAGGCTTTGATTAGCGGAGGCAACACTAAAATGAAGATATGGAACGGTACGTTTTTTAGTTCCTAAAATTATAGGTGCCTACAGTGGATATCTAGCCAAGCGATCGTGATTATGAGTTTCCTACACAAAAGTTCCCATCAGACAAGGAAATAAAATATCATAATTCCTTCTCCTCCTTCTCCTCCTTCTCCTCCTTCTCCTCCTTCTCCTCCTTCTCCTCCTACTCCTCCTACCTGTGTCAGGGGAGAAGGAACACGAACTGGAGGCTGATGATGAAGGTAATAATCAAAATTGTGTTCTTTTTCCCAAATCGGTGGACGGCCGATTTCAGGCTGGAATATTCCAAGGAATACATTCATTGTGTTCTGCTTTTCGGCATCACTATAACAAAAATACTGTACTGTACTGTACTGTACTGTACTGTACTGTACTGTACTGTACTGTACTGTACTGTACTGTACTGTACTGTACTGTACTGTACTGTACTGTACTGTACTGTACTGTACTGTACTGTACTGTACTGTACTGTACTCTTACTGTACTGTACCGTACCGTACCTGAGTGTATTACTGTAGTATCTACGCATAGTCTGCATTATATCATTTCCCTTGCTAGTCCAGGGAGCCAACTTTCTAAACAGAGAATTAAATCAAATCAAATCATACTTTGCAGGAATAGCTTAAGACTTCTAAATGAGGGTTTGAGTTTCAAACATTAATATGGCTGATATTTTTAGATATTTTTTAGATATTTTTAGATATTTTCAGATATTTTTAGATATTTTCAGAGATTTTTAGATATTTTCAGATATTTTCAGATATTTTTAGATATTTTTAGAGTTTTAATTTAAGTCTCAGCCAAATTTAATTCAGACCACTATATATTTCAGATTCGAATAATTGAAAAAGTTCTTTTTCCTTTTAGAAAATTTCCATTTTTTTAAAATTCCAATATCTGGATTTCCATTAAAGATTTACAAACCAATGTTAACAAATGTAAATGTTTACAATTCTTTCTACACAAACCTTGTCATAACATTTTTATCTATGAAAACCTGTATGATTTAATCCTATGAACTAGTGCTGATCCTCCGTACTGCAGAGCTAGTGTATCTCCTTGATCCTCGTACATCTCCTCCAGCATCCTTACACTGTCCGTATCAAACTCTAGCTGGGGTTCCTTGAGTACACCTACAGTACAATATATAGGGATAATTCTTATTGTGTAAATTAATTGCGAAATTTGAATGCTAGATTTTATTTTATCAAAAAGTTTATCTACACAGTGCGCCTGAACAAAATCAAGACCTTTAAAATGCCTCAAAAATAAGGTTGTTGGGGTTTAAAAATAAAATCATTGCGAAAAATTGCAATCCTAACTTTTTTCATCGAGATCTTTTTGAGAAAACTCATGTTTTATAGATCTACTTTTATAAATTCCAAATGCTTTAGTTTTCCCTACGTCAACCTTGTTTAAGGCCAGTTGGAACATTGTGTTACCTGTAAAAATTTAAAGAAAATTAAATTTTGCGCCAAAAAGTATATTAATACTTTCATGTATCTTATTTATGTCCAAAGATAATCATAATCAAAGTTTATATAAAGTTACTACTAAAGGAATTGAACTTTCCCCACAAACTCTGATATTTTAATACAGATTCTATCTTTGCAACCCAATGTCATAGACCTTAGATATAAACTATAAACTCTGTTAGATCAAGTAATCTAAGTTTGAAATGTCAAAGGTTTACACCGCCAGGTTGCAAAGATAAAGGGAATGGAATATTCAAGTTTGTGGCAAAGACTCAACTCCTTCCATATCTTAAATTTTTAAAGAGGATACTTTATACTGCAGCGCAAGCTAGGGGTTCAGCTACTCCCGTGAAGTTTGAAATAGAACCCACCTTTAAGCCTGTTCTGCCATGAGTCTTTCTAATCCGTTCTACCATGTCCATTATCCCACCTTAACATTCATCCTAATAGGAGTCTTTCTAATCTGTTCTACCAGATTCATTATCCCCCCTTTATAACAGAAGTCTTTCAAATCCGTTCTACCATGCCCATTATCCCACCTTAACATCCGTCCTACCAGAACCTTTATAAATCCGTTCTACCATGTCCATTATCCCACCTTTACACCCGTCCTACGAAGGAGTCTTTTCTAATTAGTTCTACCATGTCAATTATCCCACCTTAACATCCGTCCTACCAGAACCTTTCTAAATCCATTCTACCATGTCCATTATCCCACCTTTACATCCGTCATACCAGAACCTTTATAAATCCGTTATACCATGCCCATTATCCCACCTTTACACCCGTCCTACCAGGAGTCTTTTCTAATTAGTTCTACCATGTCCATTATCCCACCTTAACATCCGTCCTACCAGAACCTTTCTAAATCCATTCTACCATGTCCATTATCCCACCTTTACACCCGTCCTACCAGAACCTTTCTAAATCCATTCTACCATGTCCATTACCGTCCTACCAGAACCTTTCTAAATCCATTCTACCATGTCCATTATCCCACCTTAACATCCGTCCTACCAGAACCTTTATAAATCCGTTCTACCATGTCTATTATCCCACCTTAACATCCGTCCTGCCAGAACCTTTAAAAATCCGTTCTACCATGTCCATAATCCAACCTTTACATCCGTCCTACCGGGAGTCTTTTCTAATTCGTTCTACCATGTCCATTATCCCACCTTTATACCCGTCCTACCAGAACCTGTCTAAATCCATTCTACCATGTCCATTATCCCTTCTTGACACCCGTCTTAACAGGAGTCTTTCTAATTTGTTCTACCATGAGTCTTTCTTATCTGTCTACCATTTACATTAATCCATTAGGATTATCATTTTTCTCAACGATTTTATATATATTTTCGACCAACCTTTTTTCTGAGGCATTTCAAAAGTCTTAATTTTGTACAGGCGCACTGTGTCTATTATAATTACTTTTACTCACCCAGGGCATGGAGCTGAAAGGCTAATGCAACCTTCCCAACTGCAAACTGAGCAGTGTTCGTCCTGTCCAAACAGTCAACACAGTTCGTCCGGACTATTCCTGTCTGTCTGAGTAGGTAGGGAAGTTTCTCGTCCTTGACAAAAAAGGTCCAAACTGATAAGATAAGATGTTTGAATGAAAATCAGACTCTTTTTTATCTTCTCAACCAAATGTCGTAGACCTTAGATATTTCAAACTATGTATTCTGTTAGATCAAATAGTCTAAGTTTGAAATATCAAAGGATTACGCTATTAGGTTGAAAAGATATAGAGGTTTAAAAATTTGATTTTGTGGAAAAAACTCAATTCCTTGATTGCTTTCAGTTTTGGATTTCTATAAATAACTGACTTGCGGTTTTATGATGCAACGTCAATGACAGATGTTAAACTTATTAAAACAGAAAAATGAAGATATCTTTCTCATTGTTAATCCAGTAAGAGGTAAATAGGTACTGTTGTGAATCAGGCAAGTAACGCTTTTTTTAAATTGTAGGTCATTTGGAATTAGTCGAGATTCCAATAAAAATACAATTATCGTAGTTTTTCAATAAAAGAAAAATGTTTATCTATTTTTAAATAAACAAAAATTAAGTTTTGTACTAATTCAAATCTATGGTCACAGTTCAATGTTCAGTGGAGGTTTTGAATATTTGCCTTTTCCCTACTACAGTTGAGTAGGTCAGCTTGATGAGTTCTCTCCCAAGTAGGGTCTAAGTGTAAGTACGGAGTAGGTTTATTGTGAAAAATTCCAGTTTTCTTAACACACCTAGAAAACCAAGTGTTTTTTCTTTGAAGACTTAATATTTTGATTACTACGTACATAAAATTACTTCAGACACAGAATTTTCAAAAAATTTTCCAAAGTGCCAGAAATAATTTAAAATTCACATTTGCTTACTACAGTATGTACAGTTTACTGCAAGTTTTGTTTCAAATTCTAAAGTTTAAGATGTGACTTATGAAGTGGTTTTGATGAATACTAATAATATGATAAACCAGAAACCTACTTGTACGCAATATTGCTGAGCCTAGCCATGACGTTCGCCTCCTTGGCCTTGTTGCAGCGCGCCATGTCGAAGTGGAAATATTGAATCTTGTGTTTTTCAAGCAGAAACTGGTTCAGATAACTAAAAATAAAATACAGATAAATTTTCTAGTGAAAGATTTTCTAAGAATGTCTCTCCCCCAACACCCTTAGACTCAAGAATAATAGAAAAGTGTAAAGTTGTCATATATACACTCCATGTAAGTACATTACACAACTCCGAATGCCTAAAAGAATACTAAAAAAGGAGGCCGATACGAAAAGCACAGTAATGGAATAAAAAGTTCAATTGGAGTGAAAGGAATATGAAGAATCAATGAAGACTGGATAGTGCAACAAAAGACTTGAATCGATTGGGACAGTTCAGGAGAGAAAGTATATATTAGAGAGTTGAGGATATAAGAATCTATTTTAAATCAAACGAATTGGGATAATTTTTCAGAATGTTTTTAAAAGATTAAAAAAAGTGGAGGGAAAATGAGGAGGAAAGAAAACTTAAATACACAAACGAATCTAGGGTTGTTACAAGGAAAAGGTTAAACAAAGGGATTAATTCAACTAATTCAAATTGCTTCTATAGAGAGTAACAAGCAATTGTGGATATTTTTTGCCTGCAAATCCTTTAATTGCCGATAATATAAAACACAACTTAACTCCATATGAGTTCTTTAATCCTGATATTCTAGGGTTCCCAGCTGATCTTTGAAAAGTATTAGTGTGCAAGACCCAGTGTTAAGCTGGCTCCTGAGAAGTTTTGTAATCCTAGCAGTTTCTTGATAAATAGTACTCCCTCTCCTCTCCATCCGGTTTTATCCCAATATTCAAATAAATCAAGTCTTAGAATACCTGATTCTTAATCTACCCCTTACTACAAACTACTTAGCTCTTAAGTCTGGTCTTTAAGTCGTCCGTCCTTAATCTAATCCTTCTATAAATGTTCCCAGACGTTCTGCCTTAAAGGGAGTGTTCGCGAAAAATGAAAGGGGGTATAGGCTGAATGCGATAAAAAAGCGCTTTTGATTGCTACTAATCTTACTTCTATCTGTTGCGTCTATAAGGAGAAAATTGCTAAAAACGACTGATACCGAAGAAAGTAGTGTCCATACAAATTCAGAAAGATGCAACATACGACTTAGACCGTAAAAAATTCTATTTAATTTCAAACAAATCATTCAGATATTACAACCTATGGTCATCGATTATCTTTCGCCACATTTGTATATAGTTGATTTTTCAGAATATGTTATGATTTTATTTTTTAAAATAATATTTAGCTTGCAACTTGTTTTTGATCATTCCTGGAAAATATTAAAATGTCGTCTTCATTACCAAAAATCCTCGAAACAAAAATAAATGTTTTTATAAGTAACTCTCAGATCATAACAATTAAAACATATTATGAAAAATCAACTATATACAAATGTGGCGAAAGATAATCGATGACTATAGGTTGTAATATCTGAATGATTTGTTTGAAATTAAATTGATTTTTTACGGTCTAAGTTGTATGTTGTAATTTTCTGAATTTGTATGGGCGCTAAGTTATTCGGTATGAGACGTCTTTAACAATTTTCTCCTTATGGACGCAACAGATAGAAGTAAGATTAGAAGCGATCAAAAGCACTTTTTTATCGCATTAAGCCTATACCCCCTTTTATTTTTCGCGAACACTCCCTTTAAACATTAATCCGTTTTGTCTGATCTATTAAGACATCGTTTTCAAAATCCGCCCTTACTTACTTAAAATTTTTTACCTTCAAAGCTCATTATCTCTGAACCTCTTTTAAGATTTGTATTCATCCTCTAATTCCTTCATTTTTCTGTTATTTTGAAACCTTCTCAGCATCTTTTTTCTTTAATCCTTCAGATATTTATCCGACCTTACTTTTATCATTTTTGCTCTTTCTATAAAAATTCTTTATAATTTATTCTTCTATTTTTTATCACCCTCACACTTTTATATTTTTCTAATACTCCTTTTCTATCTTATCTTCCTTCTTCATTCTTTCTTCTTCGTTATCCTTATTTTCATTATTTCCTCATTTGATCATTTAATCAGCTGATCATTTTTATCCTTTTCCTCTTTTCTCTTTTCTCATTAGTTCCTTTTTCCTCATTTGAACATTGTTTCCTTTTTCCTTATCATCTAAGTTCTATCTTGATCATGTGATCATTTTATCCATTCTGGCTTTTACTCCTTTCATCAGTTTACCATTTCTCCCCCCCCATCATTTCTTCTTTTTCCCTCATTTCTTTAATTCTTACATCTTTCCTCATTGCTGTAATTGGTTCTCCATTATCTTCCCTCTTATGTATATACTTTCTTAACCATCCATCTACTTGCACTCTTCTTTCCTCCATGGCCCTTCTTCATATTTCTTCTATCCTTTTTTATCCACTATCCATCCCTACCTAATCCCTATCTTTAATCCTAAACGTTTAAAAACAAATTTGATCAGAGCTGGGAACTTTTGTGTAAAATACTTATAATCCAGATAGCTTTATCTCGATATCCACCGTGGGTTCTTTTTGTTTGGGAAATAATGCGTATCTTGTTGTTTTAATTTTTTTTCCAAGGTACGATTTTCATGCGGTATATTAAAGAAAGATTATATTTATCAGCAGAAAATCGAGTTCAAGCATTGATCTCGGAGTTGGTACAAAAGGTCGATTATCAAACCATCGATTAATAAAACGTCGAAAAAAATAATATATATATAAGTTTTCCTTGTTTATATTGCCAAACTGAGAGGAGAAGAGTTTTTACTAAATGTTTGACAGGAGATCAAGACTAAAACAGAGCTAGTTAAAAGAATCGGGCAGGGTACTCTTTTAAGTTCGGTTAGGAATCCTCTGACATCAGGATAAAGGAACATAACTGGAGAAAGATAACATTCTGCAAGTTCAATATTCATACTTTGCATATAGGCCTGCCAAGCATCTATCTATCTATCTATCTTCTTTCTCGCATAGTTCAATCTTTCCGTACACAATGATCAAATATCAGTGGCTGAAAAGGTACTATCAAACAAAGTCCTGCTAGGAGAGCAAAACAAGATTGGATCATATTCTGAGAACTAAACACACAGTATATGCACTATGCATATATTCTTCAAAGTACAGTCAATATATCTATGCATTATACATACAATATACAGTATGCACTATACTATACATACAGTATACGCTACAAAGTATGTTGAATACTGTTGACTGTATAAAATCTTTAGATTAGTGAAGGAGAAGGTACTATTAAACAAAATACTGCAAGGATAACAGAACAACTTGAGATCAAGTTATGCTAAATATTTTGTAGTTATATACTTTGAATACTGAACAAACATACATTATACAACTTGTGCAGTAAAAATATACTTTGAAAAACAGTTAGTTGACAAATTACGGATATCAGAACAAGAACGGAGCTTTACAAAATAAACATATCTATGAATAACTTAAATAATTATATCCTAATTTTAAAAAGGTACAAAATGTTAGTCGTACCTCTTGTACTATGGCAGTGACACGAAATTGGCAATAGATACAAAAAAATAAACCCAAGAGGTTAGGTACAAAGTGTTTTTTGTATCCTGGAACAGAAATATTTATCAAATGGGAAACAGGATTGCAAAACTGGACCAGAGCTCAAACTTTACTTCAGCGAGAGTATTGAATATACACTATACAGGGTGTCCCACATCATATTAGATCGTTTATAGCTCTAAATTGAGATTTAAGGATCAATGTAAAAAAATTCTTGCAGAAAATTCCAGGGTTTTCGATTATTGTATGCGCATTTTGGCGTTAAAGATTGGAGATAATACAAGATGACATGGGACGCTCTGTGGTCTGTTGCTTGACGCGGATACGTAAATTAAGAACACTTGAATTCCAAAAACCTGATTAGAGCTAAGGTAATTCACTAATCTTATATACATTGTTTGTTATTTGTCTGTCTGTTTGTTTGTATCCAATAAATGTCGAAAAATATGAATTCCTATAGGGCCCAAATTTTGTGTGGCACCTCACATATACCCCAGGGAAGGTTTATGGATGATAAAAAATTTCAAAAATTAGCCTCCAACAAAATTCGATTTTCATTAAATTTGGAAATCCACGTTTTTTTTTTATAAAATCCGCGAACTTTATTTTGATTTTTGTTTTGTTTTACAATGAATATAAAGAGAAAATGTTGACAATTGAAATAGAAGATGGGCATCCTAGTTCACTAATAAAATTCTAATATAGGTTATTTAAAAAAAATTTCATCCTACTTTCTAAACCTTTTTTTCAGAATAACTTTCCCATCTCAGTCTCACGTCTAAGAACACACAAACTTATCACATCAACATCCCAAATCTTTCCGTCATTGCTCCTTCATTTCAAACTACAGGTGTCCCATTTGCCGCTAGAATCTTTTCCGGTGGAAATTATAATTACCGGAAAAGATAAATCGGAAAACGGAATTCCAGTAATATTCGGCTTCTAGCAGAAATTTTCCGGCGAAAATTTCAACTTTCAATTCAGTATATATAAAAGATTGACAGTTTTTATTAAAATTTTAATTTCTTTTTATAAAAATATAAGATAAAAAATGTCAAAGAATGAATAAAAGAAAAAGAGAAGGGAAAAAAAGATAAAATATCAAAAAATTTAAAGAATTTAATCCATAATAAAAAAATGTGATGCCATAAAAAAATGCATTAAATCTGCCTTATTTTTACTATCAGAAGAATCACAAAAAAAATCTAATGAAGATTTATAATGTTAACCACTGTAACTTCTACTACACCCCTTTTAGGGCAAAGTGATTTAATACTAAAGTGGGCCAAACTCATATTTGGATGACGACATTTTTTGTCCCAAGTATTCAAAAATAATATAAATATATATATAAATTGGACTGTACGGAGTGCACAGTACAACAGAAACTGGACTCCGTTTACAAACACAGGCTTAGAATTTGTATTTCACTTAAATATAGATTAACGTAAATTAAGATTTCAGAAGTGAATTTTAGACATTTTACTGCACAATAAATATTTTCAGACAGCGCAATAGTGCCTGCGTGCATAATCTGTAAAACAAGGAATGCCCAATTTGTGATACCGAAAAATGAAGATCTCCGAAATATATTTCTGGTCTTTACTTTTGTATTTAGACAGATTTAAGAGTGGTTGAGAACCAAGACATAGTTTTAAAGATATTAAGAAGGGTGTATTCAGGTTTTTTCCCCCAGGAAGGGCTTACATTTTTTTTCTTTTTAGGGGGGGGGGGGGGCCAAAACCCCCCAAAAAGCATATATTTCACTGATCCAGGAGGGGATGAGACCCCATAGCCCCCCTTGAATACGCCCCTGGATAATAACATAGACGTGTTTAAGAAATTTACAAATATATTTCGCAATGAAGTTCGAGATTTGAAAGAACAAAACTAAGCAGTTTTAAAGAATTAGAAGTATTTACAAATAAACAACATACAAACATACAAAAAAATTTAATTTTTATTATGAAAATTTGTAAGTTCTATCTGAAGACGACATTTACATGGGTCTTAAGTCTATTTTTTCTAGTCTACTTTCCAAAAGAAATCTTTACATGTAATTATTTCCAAACCAAATAAAACCTTATGGCCCAACCTGTCGTCATTGTCATAGTCTGTTCCACTTTAGTATTATTATTATATAGTATATATTCACTTTGTCCTTTAGGGGTCCTTGGAGTAATCCAAAAACTAAACTGAACTAAACTAAACTAAAACTAAAATACACTATCGTAAAAAATAATAAAAGCAAATTGTAGAATTAACTGCATGTTTCAGCCCTTACAAGCTAGGGCTATTTTAAGGTTCAGACTTAATATCCAAAGAAATAATGTATTAATGATTAAATGCATGTACAATAAATTGTCCATTCATGGCTACGCCAGTCACAGATCATTTTTATTCACATTTGAAATTGATGGAGAGTTTTCCAGATTCAAGTTAATTAAAAATCAACAGAACTGTTCAAACGTTTAATATCTTTTAAAGAGACAAATAATGTAGACCACATTTTGGAAAATTAATTAAACTTAAATCTTTTTTTTTTGATGCACCAATTATTAATTATCGGAAATCAGACGATATTCAAGTCGTCTCCAATTCCCATTCCCTGTATATATATTTCAATCTAACTCATGCTGCCGAGGAGTGTTTAAAACACAAAACAATTTGTACAGCAATAAAAAAGAAAAATAATCTGTGTTTTACTAAGGAATATATAAAAGACTCGTACTTCTTCCCCTCCCAACTACCTGATCTGTTTTGTGAACTCATCACTGAGCAAGGATTCGTGCTTCTTTCTCTCCCTCTTCTTGACGAGGTTTATCACGACTATAGGACTACCATGCCGAACCAACAGCTCGTTGAAATGGTTCCCAGCAGTTAGTCCAAACGGATCCTAAACGTATGAACTGATGAGCATCATTTTGATTTCCGTTTTTAAACATTCATTTATTCATCCTTTATAATTGTCTAGAGCAAAATTACATTAAACAATATAAAAGTTTACAATTTAATACTAATACTCTTTTCTCTGGATATCGCATTTAATGATTGACAGGGTTTGCCAAAAAAAAACAGGTACCATACAAGACTTCAGCATGAGTATAGTTTAGTTATTCAGAGGTGGTTTTCAGAAATGGAGCTTGGTCCCAGTCTCGTGTTTTTCGTTTCCTAAAAATGTGGTATGATGACAGCACTGCAAGACTTGATAGATTTTCCCACATTGCTTTGATTTTATATAAAATTGGAGGTTTAGGCTGTAATTTACTCAAATCCTGGACCCACTGTGCTGACTGTGCTTACCTCTGTTTCTATAAAATTGGAGGTTTAGGCTGTATCTTACTGAAATCATGGACCCACTGTGCTGACTGTGCTTACCTCTGTTTCTATAAATATTGGAGGTTTAGGCTGTATTTTACTCAAATCTTGAGCCCACTGTGCTGGTACACTTCCTCGCATCTGCACAAAGCTTGTGTAGTGACCTAGATTAATTTTGAAAAGTATATTTTGACCTCTCCCGAGATAAAATAAATTGTCAGTGGGTGTTTGTTCGACTGCTCTTATTCAGAACTTCACTTCTAAGTTATACATACACAATACACATGCTAATATCATAGACGTAATTTCAATCAAACAATTACACCCCTATCTGACTTACAATGAGGAAGATATCAACATTTTTCAAACGCAAAAAGGTGTTAAAGGTGTTCAGTCATTGTCAGTAGCAGATTTCCGCATGTCAGATTTAAGGAGAAACCACAGTTGATAATAATCATTTTTCCAAGAGAAAAAGACGATTATCTTGTTCATCCATGAAAAACTTTATAGTTTACTGTTATGAATCGGACTGCCACTCTAAAAATGGAGGTACACTTGAAATAAAGTTTACAGTCCCTTTAAGTTTAAGTCACAACTGGCACTATACATTTTGAGGTGTTCATAAATATACGTGGTGATTCTAAAACGGAATTATGGTGTTAAGCCTTAAAACCATTTTAACAAAGACTTGTAACTATGGGCAGGGGGAAGCTTAAAGGGGTCATTTAAGTAATTTTTATGTCTAATGCTTTAATAGACGTAAAACTATGTCGAATATTCGACAATATCTCTGCATTGGAAGCATGGGGAGTCAGCTAATAAGAGGGACTAATCATATAATAAGTAATCATACACTCACCCATCGTGTCGCTGCCAATGCTGGAGTCGCAAGCGATCTGTTCTGTCTCAACTTCGTTTCCAACATCACCGTCGAAATTTGCTCCTCGCTTTAAGAATCGTGTACCGGCGTACTTCATCGACCGGCGCGCTATGAGAGTCACGTAAACCGGTTTTCCGAAAATGCTGACGTTAGATTGGTCAACAAATCCATGTATTATGGGAAGCTTCCAATCAGCATCAATGTCGTCAAGGTCTAAAAAGAAAATTTTTGAATTGTCACAAAAACTTGATTATTTTTAGAATTGAAATTAAATAATTGTGTAGAAAATAAAATATTACGCTATTCTGGCGAACAAAAATGAAGAAGACCAACATTTATAAAACAAAGATTGTATTTCATATATGAAGATTAAAATAAAACTATTTTAACCTTTTAGAAGATACTGGTTCCAGACAAATTTCTCTTGGTATTCTGGAACATAGGAATAATGTCCTGTTCCCGGTACATCACTCAGCCTATAAAATATATATAGATATCACGAGTTCTTTATTTAAATATTATTCCAACCTTCGAACCTGATTGGTTTACTCAGGAAGGGTTGGTTGAGTATAACCGGGTTACTGAGATTATACTGGAGAGGATGGGTCAGATCATAGCTGTAGGAGAAGTAGAAGTTAGATGATAGATCAGTTGCCTTCAAACCATCGATAATAAAGAAAATAGAATTATTAAATTGGATTTCTTAGAAAGTGTCTTGCGTAAAAACATAAAAAAAATAGTAAAAAAGTGACACTCAACGTATTTTTGAACTGAAAGGTGCCTTCAACAATTCACAACGGCTTTATAAACAGTGCTTGCACAAAATATAAAAAAAATAGTAAAAAAGTGACAGTCAACGTATTTTTGAACTGAAAGGTGCTTTCAACAGTTCACAACGCTTTATAAACAGTGCTTGCACAAAATATATAAAAAATAGTAAAAAAGTGACAGTCAACGTATTTTTGAACTGAAAGGTGCCTTCAACAATTCACAACGGCTTTATAAACAGTGCTTGCACAAAATATAAAAGTTTTCTGATAATTCTCAACTTTTTGGGGTTAAACTATCTTTTGGGTTATCTTTTCCTGAAACATTCTTAAATATCTCTGTTCATCTGGATGCTGCTCCTATTGAACAAATCAAATCAAATTTAAGTTTAAATATTAAAATGGCTAAGTACATGGTTATTGGTTACCCTCTAAGGATAAGACTATAATAACAAAAAACTATCTAGCGGAAGGCTAAGGTTATTCTTTTGTTAAACCATCTTTTTTATATTATGAGCTAAATAATTTGCCAAAAAAGCTAATTTTATAACATAAAAAACATTGAATAATTTAATAATAAATAAAACTTCCACTAACCTTACTATCTGACGGTATATAAATCATAAATGTGTCCTCAATCTTGTAAATCGTGTGATGACCAATAATTCCAACTTTTCTCCGTTTAGTGATTAGAATAATATAATATCCTTCAAGGAAACGAACGAAACCAGCCAGACCAAAAGCGGAAACCGTTTTGGTGAGACCCGAACCGATCTTCTGACCGATCTTGGATCGATTCCCAACATCGATCATGGTAAGAAGATCGCGTATTTCTCTTGTATTGTAAATTGTTTTGTCGTCAGACACTTCAAGCTTTTTCGTTTCTACTCGATCAATTTTCAGCACTCTAAAATAAAAAAAAGATAAAAATCTCTCAAATACAAAAAAAGTTGTTATGAATGAATTTTTTGGAGAATTTCAAAATGTTTTCATCTTAAAAAACCATTTTTTTTTAACATCGTTAAATAATGACTGAAGAATAAGAACAAAATTATCATAAAATAAAATTCTAATTTAAAGTCTGACCTATAAGATGGTTGAAAATTGTTTAAATGGACACTTTTTTACATTTTCTTGGGTATCATTAAAAAAATCTCAGAAATTTTGTAAAAATTTTCATACAATAACATTTTAAGCATAGAGAATAGAATATATAGAGAGGAATTTACTAGAAAAAAGTGTAAAACGGCCATTTTGTTGTACTGTTTCCATACTGCAGGTGTACTTCACATATTTATGCTATATAACCTGTTGGGCCCTGGAATATCATTTTATAGAAAATCTAAAATTATTGTTAAAAGAAAGCCAAATTATGAAATAGGCTGGTTTCATAACTGACCAATGATCATTTCACATAGACTCTATGCCTTCCACTTTACAAACGATGATTTTCCGTTATAACTATAAATCAAATGATGTTTTTATTCACCTAATTCATTATATAGTTATTTAACAGCTTTAAAAATTTCGAAATTGAAATGAATAGTCTAGGGAACATACTGTATCAATGTACTCTACTGCATTTAATTTGTGAACATTTACATGATTTGTACACTTTGAACTCCCTTTCAGGCTGAAAGGGACTGAAAAAATTCATACCGAGAGATTCTTTTAATTCCTCTCTATATATTCTATTCTCTATGATTTTAAGTCTTACCTGAAAGATGTTTGTGTATTGTTTGACCCGACCAGGTAAAACTTAGATTTGGTCTCGTAGAGCGCCATTCTTTGGATTGTTTTCACACGTGGAATATAAACACTCTCCTGAGGATCCTCCATTTTTTATCTGAAAAAGATGGTTTTTCTCAGAAGTACGAAGAAGTTATAAAATCTAACTATTTATTCGTGTAAGGAACACTTCGAAAAATGCTTCAACTCGATTTGTTTCTGGAAAGTTTGGCAGCCTAACTTTATTATCACAGTAACCACAGTCTTTATTTAAAATTACATTGAAATGAATGAAGGAAACCATTTCAACTGATCTGGGTTGAATAAAACTGCAGGTTCGGGTTTGGAAATCTCAAATAAAGCTCCGATACAGAAATGTTATCTCGCTTAAGCTATCCTTGCCTCTTGTAATTCATACACCTGGAGATATATATAAACTAGTCTATTCTGCAGGCTGAGGTTCAGGTTCGGACCTCTTCTCCGGTAATGATTCTAATTCTAGGGTTACGGGTCCATCGTTGATCAATTCCACCTGCAACATTATTTAGTTGACATAGAAATCGATAAAAGTTGCATTTCTTTAAAATAGTATACGGATTCCCATGCACAATAGTATACGGATTCCCATGCACAATAGTATACGGATTCCCATGCACAATAGTATACGGATTCCCATGCAAATAGTATACGGATTCCCATGCACAATAGTATACGGATTCCCATGCACAATAGTATACGGATTCCCATGCACAATAGTATACGGATTCCCATGCACAATAGTATACGGATTTCCACACAATAAAAATGATGCACTCTTTTTATACTATTTACAATTCTACAAGTTTTTAATTTAAGATATAACTTACAAACATACAACAAAATTATCTTAAAAAATTAACGTTAAAAGAGTCTAAATACCCATTTCTCTGTAGCTTTATGAAATTAAAGTTTTTAAGTTGATGAAATAAATGTTTAAAAGATTTGTTCTGGCTCGAGGGACCATTCAGAATGGGAAAATGTTGAAAAATTGGAATGTACATTTGAATATTTATCAGGCGCAAAATGTATCCTACCTGCATCATGGCTCCAAAAACTCCATTTTTAATTTTATCCTCTGAGTGACCTTTTTTCATCTGACTTAAAAACTAAAAAGAAACCATTGGTACATGTTTCCCTCTGTGCAAACTGAAATGTTTTGGAAATTCTAAATTGCATAATAATTAATTCATTATTTATTTACATCCTTTAAAATTTTTCTTTTCAGAATTATTATTATTGTATTTGTTCAAATATTTAAAAAATATCCCCCCCCCCCCCCGGATGCGGAAATTAAAGATTTGTACCAAGGTTACCTGATTGTAAAGTTCTAAGGATTTATCTCCAGACATAGCTGACCGGAAATCCGGTTTATTCCCCTTTATCAACAATAGTTTTATCAAAGTTTTTAAATATAACAAATTTGGGATAAAAGCCACAATCAAATAAAAATAGGTTTCGAACTCAAAATAAAAACTATCGCTTTCCTTCATGGAGTGGTAAAGGGTAAATTGACTGACACACAAAATTTCTTCAATATGTATATTTTAGATATATTTGTCATTTTGAATTACGTCCAAAAGCCGTCATACTATTCTAAATTATTTTTGCGTCATTTCTAATTTCTCATTTGTAAACATACATATTTTAAATTCCTAAATCTAAATCTTTCGGAGACTTCGCCCATCTTCTCCCAGATTCATCCTCCCATAACCTATATATATATATATATATATACATATATATATATATATATATATATGTATATATATATATATATATATATATATAAAGCAGTAATCTCAGTTTCTTTGTTTGTATAGAACCATAGAAATGTTCTTAGCTGGGTTTTAAAATTTAAGTTCAGCGGGTTCACTTTTTTAGGGAAAGTCTTAGTTTCCAGGCAAAGCTGGGTTACCAAGCTAGTCTAAAATAAACACAAGATTTACCAAATATTTCAGAAAATTACTTTTTTTTAAATACTCCAATCTAGATTTAACATAAGGTCAAATTTGTACTTAATTAATGGAATAACTTTGTGATCTCATTGCTTCTCTTAGATTTGATTTTGATTGAAAACATGTAATATTTTGTCTTAACTGTATTTGACACGACAGTACCTAGTACGCACCTGATATTGATAAGTTTACGCACGATGTATTCCACTTCCTTGACTGTATCATCTCTATGCAGATCAAAAGAGTTCAAATATTTCCAGATAAATATTAAATATTGGTGTAAAATTAATTGAATTTAAAGGAAATAGCAAATATTAAAAAATCAACAACCAAGATTGAGAAATTATTTATATAAAATTAAATGAAATCGTCCCTGTGGATTCCAATGAGAGCTACAATCCCTTTTCCAATAGAAGAAACCATTTCTCCATCCACACTAATCCATTCACATAGTTATTTTACTTTAATGAAATATGTAATATTAAGGGAGTGTTCGTGGAAAATTAAATAAGGTTCGAGAATAACGATTATCAAATAAAAAATAGATATTATCATTTCTATCACAAGTTTCTGTAGAGATTTTAGTATAAACTTTTTTAGCAGGCCACAAAATGCCCTGTAAGTAAGCCACAATACAGAAAAGTAAGATAGAGAAAAAATAGAACCAATTTATATTTTTATTCAGTCATGGTTTATACTTGATTCCTTGAACCTTTTTGTACATATTTTCAACACTTCGAAACTATTGGAATATATTATAAAAAATACGAATCCATTAGTTCAGTGGAATCAGATTCGAAAAAAAAACATATAGTCTAGAGAGTCAGTTTTTTCGAATGCTCCTTCTTAGATTTGTACATTTACATAAACGATATTAAGATTTATACGTACATAGAATCTAAAAAATCAAGTAAATGATTTAAAGAAACATATGCTAAACATTTATAAATTGTAAATCTCCCAAAATAATTTATGTTAAAAGAGTTAAGTTAACATACATAAATTTTAATAATTCATGACTGAAAATTTTGCGAGTAGAGCATACTTTAATAAACTACGTTCCTAACACTGGCTGACATCACCCTCTGTACAACAGCCTTCATTATTTTCTAAAAAATATAAATATTTAAAAAAAAATTCTTCTAAAATTTTCGCTTTTTAAATTTCTTCGAACTTTTCTTTCCGCCGTGGGAAGCTTTCCGCTTTTTCTTTCCCCCAGAGCTTGGAGCTTGATCATCATAGAAGCTTTTGCCGAAGGAAGTTAAATCGTCGCCGACACTTGACATAGTCATCATCTGTTTCCGTTTCAATCTAAAATATACAACTCTTTAAAACATTTTTATCTTTAAAATTAAATTAGGTTTGTAATTAAAGCATTGAAACAATTATTATTTCTAGATAAAAATAATTTTATAGGTTTTAAGCCAGGCTTTATTGCTCTGAGGTCGGACCTTTTGTGTTTAGTATCGACAATCTTGAACGTTGGATCTAGATATCCAATGTGAACACTTTAAGATTTGAGGATAAATGTTTGATCCCGAAATTAAATTTATCCCTACAAAGTATAATCACCACGAGATATCAGTGAGAGGAATTAAAATAATCCGACTAACATCACAAAACTCCTGATTATGCAAACTTACATAGGCATTTTCCTTTTGATCAAAATCTTTCTAAAATAAACTGCATAATAAACTGCATACCTGTCTGCTTTAGTGACCGGAAGTCTAATGAAGTTGTCCTCCTCTAACCGTATCCGCTCTCTTTCCTCCTCTATGAACTTTTGCCGCATTGTATCAACCTTAAAAATGTTTGAGTCTTAAAACGCGAAAACAAAAACTTGGAATGATTTTAAGCCAAAAGTTTTAAGTGATTTCTAACATTAGTTGTTATGTTGCATGAACATGCATGAACCTGTGACTTTACGTGTGTTGACCCTTTTCTGGCTGTGGTTTAATAATAGAGGTTTCATAGTTCAGGGCTGAAAAGGGAGCAAATTTGGAGCAAGGATGGATAGTTGGGTAGTTTAAGGATAGAAAGAAGAAGAAATATTGGGTAATTAGAGGGATGAAAAAGATTAAGAAAGGAAAGTTGGGTAGTTTAAAGGGATTGAAAGTCATAAAGGATGACGCTGGGTACTGGGTAGTTTAGGGATGGAAAGAAGATGAGAGATAAGAGAGATATGGAGAAAAGATAGACAAGAGATAAAACCAACCTTATGAGAAACCTCTTCCGGTGTATCCAGGTATTGCTCTTTAATGCTCTCCATAATACTTTTAGATATTGCTCTTTTCTTACTCTTCTCTCCTTCCTCCAATCCTTTGTCCTCTCCTCGTCCCTCCATATAGTACTGAGGGACGTTCATCGGAGGCTTAAATTTCTGCTCGGAGGGATTCTTGGAGGCCTCCTCGTCCTCATTCTCACTTTCATCGTCCAACTTGGACAACAGGTTTGCGGGGTTGGGTTTGAACCTGAATATAATAGATTTAATTATAATAAAAATATTCAGTCATTTTCTCTACTATAATTGTGAGGGGTTTATACCTTTAAAATCGTATTTGACAATTAATTACAAATTATTACGATTAATTAAAAATATCATCACTAAAAATAATATAATAATTTAAAAATAAACAAATGATTGTTCACAAAAAACTAAACTAAATAAAGAACAGTGATCATTTAAAACAATGTCTAATAAATATATTAAGATAACCTTTTCCAAAACTTACTCATATCGAAACGTCTTAACGTATAGAACTTTCTGATTACTAATTTAAGTTTACTTAATAAAAACTCAGTCCAAACCCTACATAATAATTTGACCGAAGCTCACCTGAGGGGATCGTTTTCGTCAATGACACCATTTTCGGCGATATTGACGAGTTTGTCTACTTGATATCTAAGCTTCTGGTCGATGGGTCGAATCTTCTCAAGAACTGTTCTGTAAAAATAATAGATAATGAATTTTATAAAATATGATTTATGAAAAAACAATTATGCTTTAAAGTTACAGATGTGGGACTAAAATGGTTCAAGGAACTTCATTCTTTTAATTTTTGACATAATTCGACATCATTAGACATCATTTGACACATCATTTGACATCTTTTGACATCAATAGACAACATTAGACATCATTATACATCAATATATATTATTAGGCCATCATTAGGTCATCATTAGGTTTTCATTAAACACAATTAGGACATCATTATACATCATTAGTCATCATTATACATTATTAGGCCATCATTAGGACATCATTAGACATCATTATACATCAATATATATTATTAGGCCATCATTAGGTCATCATTAGGTCTTCATTAAACACAATTAGGACATCATTAGGAAATCTTAAGATATCAATAAGGACAGCAATACAGGTAGAAGAGATTGGGATACATTGAAATTACAAAAACATAAAAATAATTTCAGTAACGCAAAATAACACGAATGTGTACAAAAACGAAACCATAGAGAAGTTTAGTCTGTATAAACTGTCAAGTGTCAAATGTCGAATTATTACAAAAAAACTATATCAATCAACTGATAACTATTTGATTTAGCAGTAGTCATTGTTTAAATTCGTCAAAGGCGAGCATTCAGTTCCTTTGATCAAACCCCATGGATAAAATTAATTGCGGTAGTTCAAAACAACAGTAACAATATTTATTGATCACGTGTAGACCAAGTGAGTAAATCGCAATTTGTTTCCACAAAATAAAAAATACAGATGTAAGTAAAAATTATTGAAGAAGGAGAAACATATAATTTCCAAACATTCTTTAGTGAGAGTTCAAAATTAATGAAAAAAGAAGCTGAACATGACACGAATTCTTTTTTAACAAGGGTACAACTCCACAGACTTGGGAGGAATCCATAGAACAAAATGGTATAACTGAAATAGAATTGAAAATGTGATTATCAGGGGACAAGTTTTTCTTTGCTCAGGGACTTTATCATGATCCACGGAGAACCTTCAGGATTGGGAGTATACATAATCAGAAACTGGGGTAAATATATTGGATTAAATATGCGGTACTAAGGATTAATCAGGATGATAATTGTAGCTCAGAATAAAAGTTATTAGAACGGCATTATAGCTCGTAGTTTGAATGTACCGCAGATCTGAAGGACGCAGTTAGAAATATCTGTTTAGTATTTTAGACTTCATTAGAGAAGAGGAGTTTAACTATCTATGAATTGTTCAACTACTTATCAATATTCCTTAAAGAGACTACAAGTGTAATTTCAAGTGTAATTGGAAATGTCGGATTCACAACGGTACCCTTAAACGCTGTGTCTAATCAAGTTTGAATTAAATATCAATGTTTATAATTTTAAATCTAGTTATTTTCAATTTTGGGTTCCCTACAAACGCCATTTCCTCATTTCTACTGCAGTAAAAGATATCAAATTTATCAAAATTAAAAGCCTAGAAAAACGACAATATCTTCCACATTCTTGATCACATTAAGATTCAAGGGAAACGTTGTCAATCGGGTATTTTCATCTTTGCATAGAGGGTCACTTGAAATAACGTTTACAGTCCCTTTAAATATATTTTGTAGGAAACCTTATTTCTATGAGTCTATGAACAGCTGATTCTTCCTCTAGACCCTTCCCTTGCATCTTCTTTAGCTGGAGGAATCCCAGGTTTGAGATGTAACTTAATAAACAAATATTTAGTAAACTTCACAGACAGGTTTCAGCTTAAAGATCTGACAAAACAAAGATGATTAGTTTCAACTTTAATTAAATACAGCAAACAAGGTAAATAGTAATACATTATAAGTAAAAGAGTTTAAAGCTTTAAAAAGGGAAAATGCTAATTCTAGGGGGGGGGGGGGCATACCATGAACCCCCTTTGATTGCAAACGACGTTTAAAAAAGATCAATCTGAACCTTTGAGTTTGATGAGATCTGAGATAGAACTTAATGAAAAATAGGTGCTAATACCTGGCAAGTAGTCTGTTTTTCAAGTCTAGAAATGAAATTCCTTCTTTCCTGGCCCCTCCTTCTTTTATATCCTTTATTAGGTTTTGTACAGTTGTTCTAAAACACGAAAATTAATAAATTATCGTAACACTTAAGTTTTATAGTCGTTTTTAGATTCCACAGTTTTATGAAAACACTTTTTTCTCGGCATTAATAAAAAAAATAAATTGAATTCAACATTAATGATTAATTTCCTGTTCCTGGTATCTTTAGCTCCTTTCGCAATCTCCTCAAGTAATTTACTCATCTCAGTCCTGTCTTGCTCCGTCCTATTCTCATCCGTCCTACCCTGATCCGTCTCAAACTCCGTGCTCATTGTCATGTTTTCTGAAATTATTAAGATTTGGATTGTGCACAAATTCTCTTTTTATATATTTTTCACAACTTGCAATAGAATTATTATCATTTATCATTTTATACCTTTCAGGACTTGAAAACAAAAAAATGTAAAACACAATCCAAACTTAACAATCATACTTTTGCAATTACTTGAATGATATTTTAGTTATTTATGGGCAGCGGGGTTTTTAATTAGACAAATTGTTCCCAATCTCACATTTTTCTTTATATTTGACTTGTTTGCCTGTCTGTATTCAATAAACGTGGAAACGGCTAAACCGATCAGGCCAAATTTTTGTGGAAACTGACATGACCCCAGGCCGGAGAAAAATGTCGACATTTGACATTTTTGAAAATGTGCTAATTCAAAAAGAAAAATGCTCGAAAATTTCAGAAAATTAATAATGGCAAATTTCAGAGCAACAGCTAAAATCGTTAATAGGAGAGGGAGCACGGAGCACCTAGCCTAGTAACAGATAATTTCTTATAACTAACAACTGTATGCCCCTCCCTTACGCCTGCTGATTTAAATGGTTCCGGGTTTGCCTTGATGGGAAATCCCGGATCAAAGGATAAATTGTAGTGTGAGGGGGAGGAGGGGGGGGGGGGATTTCAGGGTACCAGAGAAGAGAGGGATGGGGTGCACGGCAACATCTAGTTAGCAGTTCCGGAATCCTTCAGATTTAGAGTCTCAAGATTCTAGATATTTATGCAATATTTGTAAAATTAGAAGGCCATGAAAGGAACAGGAAGTTTTGTAGGAAATTTAGAAGTAGTAAAAAAAGATCAATATAATTAACACTATTACAATAACATTTAAACGAAAATCCTTATCAATAACAAGAAAACGATCAAAAAAATCTAACGTCGTTAAAACAAATATGCTAAGTTTTCGAATGTAAAAATGTAAAAATGAGTTTTATGAAGAATTTCAGGCGGGTTGTAAAATGAAATCCAAGACCATAAGGGGGTTATGGTCTTGCCACTAAAAACCTCTTAAACATTTTTTTTCTATACCCCCCTCCCCACCCAAATCCATCCTTAACCCTTTTCTTCGCTCTCTGTTGAAAACGTCAACATTTGGTTTGAAGCCGTATTGGCGCGCATGAATCCCGTTAAGAAAGCTAGACTTTGTGTCGGGGTATGGAGCAGGGTTGGGTTCCATCATTTTATTTATCTCCAGGATTATTAAAAACACAGGACAGCAGGCACAACATTGACCTGACCCAACATTCCGGGGTAAATAGAAACCGTAACCAACGAATCTCATAAAGTACGATCCCAATAACAAACTGAAAATGACAAGATTTTAAACTAAAATTCGATATTTACTTGACACTGAAGATATATTTTAAAGAAAGTAAAAATGTTTGAAAAGTGAGAATGGTTTTCTTATGGCCGCGGGAACCTGTGTGAGACCAACTCTCATTTACAGTTGAACCCTGAACCAGTCCACACACATTCTTAATAGAAGCAGGGGGGAGTGTAGTTGTGAATATGTTAGAGAAAGTTACTCTCCTAGTCCTTCTCTTAACCTGTCTTCATTCATTCAGGAATTCATATTATTCTCACTTTCATTAAATTGTACTTTTATACAACTTTATACATGTATGTATATAATATATATAAACAGGGTACACTATCAAACATATGATCTCATTTAATTTTAGAGAAACGCTCACTTCATCGTTGTCTCAAAAGGACTTTAACATTCCATTAAAGTTTTAGTTTATGACATTACATTTGTTATCATTAAAGGGATTGTCAACGTTAATAAAATGGTATGAATGAGATGAAGATGATGTTTAAATTCGAGTGTCAGTTTATAAAGAAACCAAAATTGAAAGTTATCAACTTTTATATAAAAAATCTAAGTATCTCCTTCAGACATAGGTTTAAAGGCTATTGTTATAAATTGGGCATTAATTGGGCACTTGAAATAACGTCGCCAATACAGGCTTTACATAATAAGTTCCAAAGAGTCAAATTTATGTTTGAGATAATCAAAAAGTGAATAATCAGAAAAACTTAAAAAATAAAAATATTAGATATCAGAAATAAATTTTAATTAAAGAATAATATTTTATTCTTTAGTTTTGCAATTCCCCAAGGCGATGAATGGTTAGCAGTGATTAACAGCAACCAACCTCAACAGCCAACAGCAGAGCAGGAGGAAAATCCGCAGAGGCAAGATCAACAGAGACAGGAAGAGGAACAGAGATATAATTATCAACAGGAGGATCGACGAAACGAACCAGGACAAAGAAGACAAGGAGAACAAGAATTGGTTTACGAACAGGAGGAGGAGTACTATCAACAGCAGCAGGATGAATATGATCAATATCAACGTCAACGTGAACAACAAAACTCATACAGACCACCTCCCCCTGATAAGAAATACAATCAACGCCTTCCTCCACCACAAAGACCCTTTCAAGCTCCATACCCTCCAAGACCAGCTCCACCCCCTCCCAAGTCTAACGGAATTGTTGATGGAATAGTTGGCGGAGTGAAGGGATTTGTAGGAGATGTAACATGTGCCGCAACCTCGCTTTATACTGAAGATAAACTAGAAGATCCGGAATTTATTCAATATCAAATGAATTGTATTTTTAGAAAAGGAGAATGCGATGAGGTTGGAAATCTTATTAAACGTAAGTTAATTAATAATGTGTAAAATAGTCACAATATTAGTTTTGAATAATAATTTAATAATTATTCAGGCATGGCACCGGATATTGTACGCGGCGGATGTCCCCGGCCCTGTGATCCCTGCATCAAGAAACAAATCCAGAAAGTAATGGCAACCTTTAGCAGGAAATATCCAAAACAGTTTCAACAGATTCTTACGCAGTTCGGTAACAGGCGGAGCTAGCTTGATTCAGGGTTTAATAAATCTTTAAAGGGTTACTGTCAAGAATAAATCGTATAAGCTTCCAAATATTCACAGAAATCTAAATATATTTTAAAAAGATCGATAAACCTGTGATCCCAGATGTTTGCTCAACTTATTATTTTTAACTATCAGATATATTTTATGACCAATAAAGAAAATAATTGCCATTAAATGACACTGCTTCTTGATATTTTCTACATAAACTATCCTAACATGATGTTCCTTTATTTCATTCTTGAGAATATTGATTTTAACAATTAAATGTGCTTACTTCACATCTTAAATTATTTAAAGGAATTGTTCTTATATTTTGAGGGCAAGGCAAAATAAATAATTATTTTTAATATCTGTTTATTGATAATTATCAACAAGAAAAAACATTCATGGGACCAATTTAAAAACAATATTTAAATTGACAACTAAAAATTGCTAAGCCTTTAAAGTGTGATTTTGATTTTAATTCTAACTTTTGCATGCTTCAGAGTTCAGAGTTGTTCTTTGGACTTAAATCAATTTATTTCGTCCCAAACTTATATACCAAAAATAAGATAAATTACAAATATTTTATTGGGCGCTAAATATCTGAACAATCCCTTTAACATGGTGACCAGGATACAAAAATACAGTGTAAACAATACAAGGACCTACCTGAGACGAAATAATTAACATTGAAAAAAAAAATAAAGTAAAAAAGTTTTGGTACGTAGGTAATTTGGATGTGGTGGTATAAAGGTGGAAAAGTGTTAAGAGGTTTTAAATATTAGAAAAGGAAGGAGATAGGTTAAGGAAAAGAGGAAAGTAGAATGAGGGGAAAGGGGCGGGGCACTGAGTGGGTGTGGCTGAGATCAGCAGAACTTCCATCGGTTTCCGCACTCGTTACAAAGAACAAATGTTGTCATAGGTTCATCAGCCGATCTGGTTTGGATCTGGTTATAGGTACAGTTACTCTTCTTACACTTTCCACACTTCAACATATCAGTCGTTGTACCCTAAACAGAATATAATTAGAATACGGCCAGATCTCAATAAGGAAATATTAAAAGGACTAAACAGAATATAATTAGAATACAACAAGATCTCAATAATTATTATAAAACAGGAAATATTAAAAGGACTAAACAGAATATAATAAGAATTCGAAAAGATCTCAATAATTATTATAAAACAGGAAATATAAAAAGGACTAAACAGAATATAATTAGAATACAACCAGATCTCAATAATTATTATAAAACAGGAAATATTAAAAGGACTAAACAGAATATAATAAGAATTCGAAAAGATCTCAATAATTATTATAAAACAGGAAAAAGGACTAAACAGAATATAATTAGAATACAACCAGATCTCAATAATTATTATAAAACAGGAAATATTAAAAGGACTAAACGCGTTATTTCAAGTGACCCTCCATGCAAAGTTAGCAATGTCTGATTTAAAGCGGCATCTTTAACCATGTAGAAAAACAAAATCAGAATTAACTTTTAGACCTGTAAAAACAACAATATCTTCAACAATATTAATCATATAAAGGTTTCAAGAATGCCGTTGTAAATCGGGCACTGCTATCTTGAAATGACGCTTAAACCCACTTCAAGATATTATCGAAAACTGGAAATACTAAGAACCAATGATAAAATGAAACGAAGCCAAAGAGAAATATTGGAAAATTTAAATCAAAGCTGGGTAAGCCAGTGAACGTTCTTTCTCAACGGTACCCTTGTAATCTATCTGATCAATAATGTGGAAGATAACACTGCGTTAAGTTCTGATAAAATATCTATGGTTTTCCTGCCGTAGAAATGTGCAGAGAAACCATAATAGAAAATAATCAGTTTTAAAAATTAAAAACATTGATTTCTTATGCATACTTGATCAGACACTGCTTTTAAGGGTACCGTTGTTAATTGGACACGCCACTCAACTAATGAAGGGTTACTTGAAACTACGCCTGAAGACTGGAAATATTTTGGCAGACAATTTGGATGATTTCCAGCTGATATCCTTGAATTTCTTTTTTACATTTGATATGTGATATGTGTAATTGTTCTCTATTATAATTCCCTACAAACACAACCATTTTTCAAAATATATGTGTTTTTCAATGTCGGATCAAAGATGGATTATTGTCACATAAAAAGTTTGAAGTTGATTTAAAAGTAACAGGAAAAAGAAAAAAGTAGAAAAATCTGAAAATATGTTGGAATTATTAAGAATTTAGTGAACGGTGACAAAAAAACTAACTAAATATTTCTAAAATGAAGATAGGATAAAAATTATCCATGAGAACTGAATACAAATATATGCTTACCTCGACTTTAGCAAGCTGGGCATTATCTATTCCTTCCTTTACAAACTTCTCTCTTTGCTTCTTCACGTCATCGTTCGCCATCTCTTCGCTGGTCATCTTAGACAGACGGTCAGCAGACAATATACCCACAAGAAGATTCATTCGCAGACTGGGGTTTTTCTTGTCCTAAATGTTTAAGTTTGAAAAATCGTTTAAAAGAAAAAAGTATAAAATTCAGACTAGAGTTTTCTTTTCCTATGTAAGTACATTTAATTTTGACCCTGGACCCTGGATCTATTAACTTGAGATTAAAGACCCAGGATATATTACCTTGAGATTAAAGACCCTGAATTTATTATTACCTTGTAAAGACCCTGAATCTATTACCTTGAGATAAAAGACCCTGAATATATTATTACCTTGAGATTAAAGACCCTGAATTTATTATTACCTTGAGATTAAAGACCCTGGATATATTACCTTGATATTAAAGACCCTGAATCTATTACCTTGAGATTAAAGACCCTGGATCTATTTCCTTGAGATAAAAGACCCTGGATCTATTACCTTGAGATTAAAGACCCTGGATCTATTACCTTGAGATAAAAGACCCTGAATCTATTATTAACTTGAGATTAAAGACCCTAAATTTATTACCTTGAGATTAAAGACCCTGGATCTATTATTACCTTGAGATTAAAGACCCTTGAGATTAAAGACCCTGGATCTATTATTACCTTGAGATTAAAGACCCTGAATTTATTACCTTGAGATTAAAGACCCTGGATCTATTATTACCTTGAGATTAAAGACCCATGATATATTACCTTGATATTAAAGACCCAGGATTTATTATTTTATTGAGATTGAAGACCCTGGATCTATTACCTTGAGATTAAAGACACTGGATCTATTACCTTGAGATTAAAGACCATGGATCTAACTATTACCTTGAGATTAAAGACCCTGGATCTGATCTGGTTTTTATATCTCTGATTAGTCTGCTTGAATTGTGAGAATATTGCCTCCTCCAATGATGTTGCAAGGTCGCTACATCCTTCTTGGGTACACCCTTCAGGGAGCTCACCCTCACCCTGTAACATTCAAATTTACTTTAACCTTCACCCTGTAACATTCAACTTTACTCAAACCTTCAACTTTACTTTAACCTTCACCCTGTAACATTTAACTTTAGTTCAACCCTCACCCTGCAACATTCAACTTTAGCTGAACCCTCACCCTGTAACATTCAATTTTACATTAACCTCACCCTGTAACTTTTAACTTTAATTTAGCCCTTACCCTGAAATTTTCAACTTTACTTCAATCCTCACCCTGTCATATTCATATTTACTTAAACCCTCATCCTGTAACAATCAACTTTACTTTAACCCTAACCCTGTAAAATTCAACTGTACATTAACCTTCATCCTGTAACATTCAACTTTACTTCAATCTCACCCTGTAACATTCAACTGTACATTAACCTTCATCCTGTAACATTCAACTTAACATTTACCTCAACCCTGTAACTTTTTACTTTAATTTAGCCCTCACCCTGCAATATTCAACTTTATTTCAACCCTCACCCAGTAATATTCAACTTTAGTTTAACCCTCACTCTGTAACTTTCAACTTTACATAAGCCCTCACCCTGAAACATTCAATTTTACTTTAACCATCACACTGTAATATTCAACTTTAGTTTAACCCTCACCCTGTGACATTTCACTTTACTTTAACCCTTGCCCTGTAACGTTCACGTTTACTTTAAACTTCACCCTGTAACATTCAACTTTACTTTATCTTCACCCTAAAACATTTAACTTTAGCTTAACCCTCACCCTGTAACATTCAACTTTAGTTTAACCCTCACCCTGGATCATTCAATTTTACTCTAACCTTTTATCCTTTAACATTTACTTTACTTTCATCCTCACCCTGTAACTTTAAAGTTTAAACTTTACTTTAACCCTTCCCCTGTAACATTCACGTTTACTTTAAACTTTTTTACCCTGTAGCATTCAACCTTACTCTAAACCTCACCCTGTAACATTTGACTTCACTTTAACCCTTATCCTGTAACATTAAACTTTAGTTAGACACTATCATATGAGCTTTAAAAATACCTAATCCTGTAACAACCCTCAACGTGTAATATGAACTGAAAATAACCCTGCTCATATTGCTAAGCGTGAAACTAACACATCAAAAATATCTAATCCTTCTTGGACCAGTAAAAAGGCAAACTTTCTTTAAACCTGGGAGTATCTTGCAGACCCCCCCCCCNAATTATATTGTATATATATAGAGTAGTAATCTCTGTGTGTCTGAATGTCCGATCATAACATCTTGACGATTTGACTCAAATTTTTAATGTTCTTTGTGTGGTTTAAAAGTTCCAAGTAGAGGTTGGTGACAATAAAACATTCAGGCAAGGTTGGGTTGTCAAAATATATCAAGATGGACACCAATCCAAATATTCGTTTTAAAACGTTGAAATAAGAGATGGATTATGGCGAGTCAAGATTATAAATAATTCTTATTTTATTTATTTCTCTAATTCGGTCACCGAATTAGAGATAATTCGTGAACTGGGTTTTGAGTGTAAGATTAGACAACTAATATAAATTATACAGAGGGGGCGCAAAACTTCGTATTACAGAAAGATTATAAATAATAATAATAATACCTGAGAATCCTGGTCGGGCGGAGAATGATTTACTGGCATTTTCCTTCTTCTCCGCCTTTTCTTTTTTCTCCGCCTTTTCCTCTTTCTTCTCCGCAGACTCAGGAACTAACTTTTTCCATGATTTTATCAGACTTTTTGCCAGAGTAACCACCTCCTCATCTGTACTTGACTTTCTACAACAGTTTAGGATCAGGACACTCAAAATAAAAGCAAGGGATGTATATTAGAATATTTAAACTAGAAACGAATAAATGAACTGAAAACTAGGTTAAAATTAAAAACTAAAGCTCTTGAACACAGAGTTAACTTACGTTCTGATAGGTACAAAGGTGTTTATTATGATGTATGATTAAATAAATGAATAGATGAATAATAAATTAACATATGAAAAAATGAGAGAAATGAATCTTTAATTATCTTATCACAATATCAAGCAACTGAACATTAACTCATATTTCCAATGCAGATAATTATTTGTTCCCACAATCAGATAATAGATTCGTGATTGAATGAAAAATTGAAGGACAAATAAAATCGAATCGAATCGAATCGAATCGACCCGAATCGAATCGAATCGAATCGAATCGAATCGAATCGAATCGAATCGAATCAAATCAAATCAAATCAAATCAAATCAAATCAAATCAAATCAAATCAAATCAAATCAAATCAAATCAAATCAAATCAAATCAAATCAAATCAAATCGAATCAAATCAAATCAAATCAAATCAAATCAAATCAAATCAAATCAAATCAAATCGAATCAAATCAAATCAAAAGATGAATAGAAATAATGAATAAAATTTTATTAGAAAGGATGAATAAACTGACGAAAAAAAGGATGAATAAGTGGGTAAACAGGAATAATAAACTGACAAAAAAGGAGGAATAATAAATAAAGGGATGAATAAAAGGGTAAATAAAAGGATGAATAATAAGATGAATCAGATGATGAATTAAAGAATGAATCAAAGGATGAATTAAAGGATGAATTAAAGGATGAATTAAAGGATGAATTAAAGGATGAATTAAAGGATAATTAGAAGGATGAATAAAAGGATGAATTAAAGGATGAATTAAAGGATGAGTTAAAGGATGAATTAAAGGATGAATCAAAGGATGGATAAAAAGATGAATTAAAGGACAAATTAAAGGATGAGTTAAAGGATGAGTTAAAGGATGAATTAAAGGATGAATTAAAGAATGGATAAAAAGATGAATTAAAGGACAAATAAAAGGATGATTAATAAGGTGAATTAAAGGATGAATGAAAGGATGAATTATAGGATGAATTATAGGATGAATTAAAGGAAGAATTAAAGGATAAATTAAAGGATGAATTAGAGGATGAATTAAAGGATTAATTAAAGGGTGAATTAAGGGATGAATTCAATGATGAATTAAAGGATGAATAACAAGGTGAATTAAAGGATGAATAACGATGAATTTAAGGATGAATTAAAGGGTGAATTAAGGGATGAATTCAATGATGAATTAAAGGGTGAATTAAAGGGTGAATTAAAGGATGAATGAAAGGATGAATTAAAGGATGAATTAAAGGATGAATTAAAGGATGAGTTAAAGGATGAATAAAAGAATGGATAAAAGGATGAATTAAAAGATGAATATAAGGATGAATAAAAAGACGAATAAAAAAGGATGAATATAAGAATGAGGATGAATAAAAGTAGTAATGAAAGGACGAATAAAGGAATAAATAAAAGAATAAATATAAGGACAAATAAGAGTGTTAAGCATACACACTAGAATGAATATAAAAATTTTAAAAATCTACCTGAGACTATTAACTGTCATCCCAATCCTGGTGCTGGTCAGTATGGTCAGGGTAATATCCAGCTTACCCAGAGATTTCAATAGATCTAGAGCCTAAACCAGGATATAGATATACATAAAAGATTTCAGTAGATCTAGTCTTAACCAAAATATAGATATATACTAGAGATTTCAATAGATCTAGAGCCTAAACCAGGATATAGATATATACTAGAGATTTCAATAGATCTAGAGTCTAAACCAGGATATAGATATATACTAGAGATTTCAATAGATCTAGAGTTTAAACCAGGATATAGATATTTACCATGGATTTCAATAGATCTAGAGCCTAAACCAGGATATAGATATATATCAGAGATTTCAGTAGATCTAGTCTTAACCAAAATATAGATATATACTAGAGATTTCAATAGATCTAGGGCCTAAACCAGGATATAGATATTTACTAGAGATTTCAATAGATCAAGAGCCTAAACCAGGATATAGATAATTACTAGAGATTTCAATAGATCTAGAGCCTAAACCAGGATATAGATAATTACTAGAGATTTCAGTAGATCTAGAGCCTAAACCAGGATATAGATATATATCAGAGATTTCAGTAGATCTAGAGTCTTAACCAAAAAATAGATATATTCTAGAGATTTCAATAGATCTAGAGCCTAAACCAGGATATAGATATATACCAGAGATTTCAGTAGCTCTAGAGTCTTGACCGAAATATAGATATATACTAGAGATTTCAATAGATCTAGAGCCTAAACCGGGATATAGATATATATCAGAGATTTCAGTAGATCTAGAGTCTTGACCAAAATATAGATATATACTAGAGATTTCAATAGAGTCTAAACCAGGATACAGATATATACCGGAGATTTAAATAGTCTAAACTCGGATATAGATATATAGCAGAGATTTCAATAGATCAAGAGCCTAAACCAGGATATAGATGTGTAGGTCAAACTGTTGAACCAATCAGCTCAAATTTTCTTGTGGGACCACATATGATCACTGGGAAGGTTTTCAGTCGGACAGAATTCAAAGGTTACGCTGAAACAATGGTTTTCTTCTGTTTTTATAAAATCTTACATAAAATCAATAACATCTGCCAAATTTTTTAATTTACGAAAAAGAAAGGCTGACTTCCATAAAGATCAACAGCAAGAAGCTACGAAAAAGGCTAGAACTGAAGGCCCTGTGTCGTGCCCTGTAAGCCAAATAAATGAGAAATCTAATTTTAACAAATCTAACCTGAGCATTATCTTCATCAAACTTTTATTAACCAAAAAATTACAAATACAGTATTGTAAATAAATTTGAAACATACATTAAAAAAATATATATGGAAATGCACGTATGCTCAGATTTATCAATGAAATTGCTTAACGCAATTTACTCTCTATATAAAGATTTCTAAGATGAAAAATAACAAAAACCTGGGCATTATCGGCCTCCCCCGAGGATATTTTCTCCAACTGCTTCCTAACAGACAATACTTCCTCTTCCACCATTTTTCTGAAATAAATATATCTTAATTTAAATTTTCTTACTTTATCAAATACGGTAATTTCCCAGAGAACATTTGATACCCCTCCCATCATAATTTTTTAAATGCATCTCATGGACATAGTTAGATCAGTTGCCGCAGCGCACGGCCCCCTGGCCTGTCTAAACTGCGGCGCTCGGTCCCGACCAATCCACAGCGCTTGTCCTCCCCCCACCTCTCCTAGCCGCAGCACTCGGCCAAAATATTGTCTTAATCTAACCATAACCTTAAAAAATATGAATAATTTAATTGATTTTGTTGAAAAACTGAAATCGAGGTTATGTCAAAACTTGACCTAGTGGCCAGAAATTTTCTTAACCTAACCTAACCCTTATTATATACTAATTTTGTTAATAATGGTTGAAATTGAAAGTCTGTCATGGCCGCAGCGCTCGTCCCCCTAGCCTGTTCTACCCACGGCGCTCGGCCCAGAAATTGTCCTTAACTAACCTTACCTCACCCTGAAATAATTCAAAATAAATAGGTAGAACGAAATTTGGACCCTACCCCCTCCTGTTAATTTTGAACATGCATCTCATATTTTAAACACATGGATTAAGTAGGTCAATTGGCCGCAACCCATGCCCCCTACACTGTTCTACCGACGGCATTCAGCCCTCTAGCGTGTCCTAGCCGCAGTGCCCAACCAGAACCCGTCTTAACCTAACCTAACCCTAAAATATAAAAAAAATCGGGAAATTTCCTAATAAACGATTTTTGGACCCCCCTCCTAACAATTTTGTACATGGATCTTATAAGTAATACATTGAAATAATGACCATGTTGCCGCAGCGCCTGGCCCCATAGTCTGTCCTAGCCACGGCGCTCGGCCCACTAGCCTGTCCTAGCCGCGGCGCTCGGCTCCCTAGCCAGTCCTAGCCGCAGTGCTCGGCCCAGAAAGTGTCTTAACCTAACCTAACCCTAAATTATAAAAGAATAAATAATAATAAATTTGCTGAAAAATAAGTGGTCATAAACAAAATTGTATACTAGGACGGACCCAAAAAACGTTCTCTTGGACAGAACCCGCCGGCATGCCATAATACCAGACAAGGCAACATGTTATGCTTCCTAAATTGGGTATATTCCTAGAGAACGATTTTTGGACCCCCATGAATTATAGGATGAATTAAAGGAAGAATTAAAGGATAAATTAAAGGATGAATTAGAGGATGAATTAAAGGATTAATTAAAGGGTGAATTAAGGGATGAATTCAATGATGAATTAAAGGATGAATAACAAGGTGAATTAAAGGATGAATAACGATGAATTTAAGGATGAATTAAAGGGTGAATTAAGGGATGAATTCAATGATGAATTAAAGGGTGAATTAAAGGGTGAATTAAAGGATGAATGAAAGGATGAATTAAAGGATGAATTAAAGGATGAATTAAAGGATGAGTTAAAGGATGAATAAAAGAATGGATAAAAGGATGAATTAAAAGATGAATATAAGGATGAATAAAAAGACGAATAAAAAAGGATGAATATAAGAATGAGGATGAATAAAAGTAGTAATGAAAGGACGAATAAAGGAATAAATAAAAGAATAAATATAAGGACAAATAAGAGTGTTAAGCATACACACTAGAATGAATATAAAAATTTTAAAAATCTACCTGAGACTATTAACTGTCATCCCAATCCTGGTGCTGGTCAGTATGGTCAGGGTAATATCCAGCTTACCCAGAGATTTCAATAGATCTAGAGCCTAAACCAGGATATAGATATACATAAAAGATTTCAGTAGATCTAGTCTTAACCAAAATATAGATATATACTAGAGATTTCAATAGATCTAGAGCCTAAACCAGGATATAGATATATACTAGAGATTTCAATAGATCTAGAGTTGAGGGGGGGTCCAAAAATCGTATACTAGGACAGACCCCTAAATTGTTATTATTATTTTCTAAAATCGAATTGGCTCAATTTCAACGATCTTAAACAACATGAAAATGAACCACCAGTAAGAAAAATGCTGATCTTCACAGCAAAATTTGCATTATATTTTGCCTTGCTTAAGTCTTTCTCAATTTAACGTTAAAACCAGATATTTTAGGCTCAAAAAGGGTACATTTTTATTTTTAAACCTCGGAAAACGCGGTAAAGGGCAACGAGTAGTGTACATTATCGAAACTGTGTTGTGACATTCGCTATAAAATGCAATCGATGAAATGCCGCAACAGGGGCATGGTGTTTACCTTGGCGGAGGGGGGGATAGATAAAACTCCTAAGAATGCGCGAATACCGGATAATATTTCTTTAATTCTCTCTCTCTATG